TTAATGTGCCGCAATATTTTTGCTCTTGTTATGCATTCTGAAATGTAGCACGGCTACTTCTTTGAAAATTGCTTCACCGGCATATATCTCCGTAACAGTCAGTACTCTAGGCGTGAAGAACGTTTGGCCCGGCAAATATTCTGGACTACAATCCCCATAATCCTTTGCAACCCAATGCGGTTGATGAGAATTGAAGACCAAAACAACTGGAGGACTGAAGGTCGCCCATCCATCTTATATATCTTTCCATCCCTGCCTCTTTCTCGGCCTGCAATTCCGAGCCGGAAATCTGTATGCAAGGCTATTAAGACCACATCCCCTTTGGCCAACAGATTTTTGACACTACGCGCAGCCGTCTTCCATTTCCTCTCCCACGCCCTGTCTTTGCCGCAGTCCTCCTAGATCATAAAGTCGCAAGTGTAGAGCGTCCATTGCCTCGTCCGTTGCGTCAGGGGGGAAAAACAAGGAAAGGTCCGCCGCTCTGGGACTGCACCGCGGAGGCGGTGCCTCACTCGTCTTCCTCCACCGCACAGGGAGGTTCCGAGTGCGCCTGCGCGAACTGTATTTTTTTTTCTCGGTCGTTGCAGTAGGAGGAGAGGAGTCGGCGGTTACGGAGGAGCCGGAAACAGCGGTGAGGCCCCGAGTCGCATTCGCTGCACGGTGTGGCTGCTGAAAGGGAGGGGGGAGGAGGAGCGAGAGAAGGGGACGAAAGCCGAAAGCGGAGGTTTTTATTTTTTAAAAAAATCCCTCAGTTTTAAAGCGACGGGGTTAGGCACAGTTGGCCGGGCCTAGTATGCGTCTAAAGGAAGGCCGAGCCTGAGGTGGGGCGAGGGGTGGGGCTTTGTGTTGAGCTGACGCGCACGCGCGCACGTTCTGTGTGGGAGGCTAGCAGCTGTTGGGGAACTGGGTCGGTCCAGTATCGCGATAACTGGCGGCAAGTCTCGCGGGATGCTGGCCTCGCTTAACAGACGTCGGGAAGCGACTGCGGGGGACCGTCCTCGCGTTGTTCTTTTCCGCCTCCACAGAAACGACAACTAGGCTGACTTTGAATGCTGGTAGGGGTGGATTAAGCTTGGAGGGCCTTTCGTAGGAAAACGTGGGGCCGGGGGGGGTGTTGAGAACTGCGGGTTTTTGGCCGACGAGAACGAAGCCGTGGTTGCTCCTTCCCTCGCCCCCCCCTCCGGCCAGCAGGTCTGCTTTGCACCTCGTTTATTGCCCTTTTCCATACGAGACAGAGATCTTTTTGTTTGTTGGCTAACGTCCAGGCGTTGAAGGCCTTCCGGTTTTAATTGTTGCCTTTAAGTTGTTGTTTGCCCATTCCATTACGTGAGCAATACAGTCCACATCCAGATTTAACTAGATTTGTTAATGGCAACCTGTATTTGACGGCTGGTCTGCGGACATTTGAAAGGGGAGTCGTGGGCCCATCATGCTGCTAATTGCATTTTATTTATTTATTTTTATTTATTATTGGATTTTTATCCCGCCCTTCTAGGCAAAAGTCTACTCAGGGCGGCTCACAATGTATTAAACACAAAAACAGATTAAAACCACATTTAAATCTACAATAATAATATAGTCAAGATGGGACTAAATTGGGGTTTGGGCGTCCATGTTGTATGGTTTCTAAATAGGATGGTTTAGCTGTTGGAAACTGTGGCTCATAAGGCCATTTTTTGAAGGCCATATTGGACATCCTTTGATAAACATGAGAAGCAAAGTTGCACCTATGAGTATGAATGCAGTGGATGAAAAAAAAAAGCTGCCCAGAGTGGTAGAATATACCAGATGGGAGGGATATAAATCAAATAAATAAATAAATCATCCCCTATTTGTGTCACTTGTTTGTGAAATGGTAGCAGAGCCATACACTTGAATGATGTTTCAGATAGGTCTGTCAAATAAGTAAATTTTGCCAAATTGATTTTTAAAGCTAAAAATTAAATGTTATGCTTTTTAAAGGTATGAAAGGGACTTGTGTCATTTGTGTGGCTGTGGTAGGCCACAGCAGATGTCAGCATACAGAAAGGGTGAGGGAAATGAAGTTTGGCAGGTAAAATATCGGGAAAATGTGTGTGTATGTAAATGTGTGATAGACTTGAAATAGACTTGAAGTGCTCTTGTGTATTCTGAAGACTTAAAAGATTCGAATCTAAGCAGAGACATATTTAGAGAGAGATTTTTGTCTGAGTACATCTTCATTCTATAAAGTGTCCCTGTTTGAGTTCAGGATGACTGGATAAACATTGGATATAGAATACTGTATGTAAAAACATAAGGGAAAAAAATATTTTGAGACAATAGTGACTGGACTTACTTAGTGAAATCAGGTGGCAGTAGATTTTATGTGGAACCTACAATCTCAATCCAGTTTTAATCTGAAGCAGGGTGGATAATAGTAAATGGTTTAAATCACAATTTAATTTTTAATGGTGTTTTTTAAATTGTTAAAAAATCCAATTTTAAAAATTTTAAATCAAGATTTATATACTGAAATACTGGGTATACTGACTTAGTGAAATTTATGTAAGCACTCACTTAACATTCAGCAGTTGATTCACTGAATCTGTTCCTGTAGGTAGATCTTGTTGGATTCACAGTTTTTAATCAGGGTGGATTTGATTTAGATTACAATTTAAAAAAAATTTAAAAAAGATTTTTGATGCTTTAAATTTAATTTTTTTTAAAAAATTAATTGTTGTTCATTTTGATTTTAAAAAAGAAAACATTGTTTTTTATCCACACTGTTTTTATTTTAAAGATGGAGAGGCAAATAGTGTCAGAATAGTACTCAGGATACTTGGGTTCAAGTAATGATTGGCCAGACAGATTCACTACAAGGGGATGGCAGTGATAAACTATTCCTTGAATTTCACACCTATCTCAGAAACCCTATTAGTGTTGCCATAGATCAGGTGCAACACAATGGCACATGACAAATGTGTAATTATTAGATGCAAAAGATACACTGGGAATGACTTTATCATTATGCTTTTAATTTCTAGCAGTTTCTGTAGATAGAATGTTAGTCAGATGGATCTTTGGTCTTATCCAGCAAGACATCCCCTATTAAACCATATAAAATGGATGTATTTTCAAGGCTGTTGTTGAATAAGTTTCTGTTGGAATGAAAGCATGCATATTCTAAAGTTTTACATAATGTTCCAGGATATGGAAAAGAAAATGCTGAACTTTGAACTGTACTGAGAGCTCTTTGAATGCTGAGATAAACATTGCTATTTGTTTTTGGAGAACAGAAACATATGTTTCACAGACACATGTGCTCCAGGAAATTCACCCCGCAGGTGAATAAGCAGTTTATTCCTGGTAGTTAAAATATATGAAATAAAAATACTTGTGCATATTTAATGAAGAGTATCATTTTCACTGGATTACTTATAGATGTATGAAATATTTGAAGATGCAAGAGCTGCATGCATACATTTTATGAGGGGTTTTCTTTTGATAAGCATTGCTGAGCGCTCCAGTTCAGCAAAGAAAGGAGAGAGAGAAACGAACGTGACAAATGGGTATTCTTACTTTTTCTCTGTTCATGCTTATATTTAGCACTGAATATACTTTCAGAATAAGGATTGGAATATCTGCTGTTTCAATTACTTTGAGTTTAGGGCTGGTCGAAAAAGGCTCTTACTGTAACTTTATTTCTGCGGCACCTCTTTACACACACTTGTTCTTCCAGTTTAAAAATTAATGTTGTAGGTTGTTATGTGCAATAGAATGTAATAATAGATTTTGGAGCTTGATGCTATAATGAGGAGATTGCTTCTGTATGAATAGGAATTCTTCAAAAAAACCAGTTGCTTGTGCTGTTGATCTGTTTTAGTGCAAAACATATATCGTGTTACGTGTTCAACCTTGTAATTTTTGCCATACATTGCTTCTTCTGAACCATGATAATTTGAAATGTGGGGTTTCTGTGTTGGGGGGGAGGGAAGGGCAGAGACTAATGTTAAAAGTTCAGCCTGAAAGCTCCCCTGAATCTCAGGATTTACATTTCCGTCTGACAAACAGTTTTACCAGTAGATACAACTGAATTGCATGTGGGGCTGAATTTAGAGTTATAGCAGTATTCCTAGATGCTGCTGCTTGAACTGTTATTTTCTCCTTTTTTTAAAAAAAATTCTTTGCCAAGTTTTAAAAATTTTTAACATTTTTATTATTATTCAAGGTACAATCCTCTGAATACATAACAAATAAGAAAAAAATTGTAATTACCTATAAAAACAGTTCTCTTTTCTGAAATTGAAAGGGCCAGGCAAAAGAAGAGGGACATAGAGAGAGGCTGTTACCACAAAGGAAGAAAAATGGGATAAAAATCAAATAAAAAAAGACTGGGCAGAATCCCTCTTTTTAACTGTTTGTTCTTTCAGGCTTACCCCTGAGTAGGCAGAAAATGCTGAAGATTAACTTTCGTGGAGCGAAACCAAAGAAACTGGCATTATGGATTTTTTAGTATTTTGCCAGAAGAAGCCACATCCATTTATATTTCAGACTCCCCAAAGCAAAGTGTTATGTGTGGCTATTGAATATTTGCATATAACTTGGCTTCCCAGTATTGAGGGCTGGGGTTTTCTTCCAAATCATTAACATTGGTTTAGGCACCACCTCCAGAAAAGTACCCTCATGGCAAAAATCAGTAGACATGGAGATGTGGGGGCTTTTTTGTTCTTAATTGCTGTTGCTTTTGAGAAAGAAAATATTGTCTGGGTACTCAGATCTATCTCCTTGAATCTATTTCTTTTGTTAAAGTATTTTTTATCCAACTATATTGCATTATACAGGACAAATAAGCCTTGGGGAAATAATGTTTAAAGCACTCTGTGTGTACAGAAAGTTAAATGCTGGGCATTGCTATGCAGTCTCCTTTTACAAAGAAAGAAAATAAGCCAGGATCACGTTGCCTGCTTTTGTTCATTAACTTCCAGAGAGGACTTAAAAAATAATAATTTGAGAGATCTCCAGTAGGAAATGCTAACTCAAATGTTATATTTTGTTTGAAACGTTGTCATGCATGTCAGGAATTCCAGGCCTAATGTGGGTCTGCTTGCCCACAGCATTGCTGCAGGAAATGGTTTTTCTAAACCTGGGAGGATTAATATTTAGTATGTCAGGATGGCTTTGAATTGAATCACAATTTAAATTTTAAAATTGGATATTTTTGAACAATTCAAAATAGAAAATCAGATTTGGATCTAAATTGTGATTTAAATCAATTGGATTTTTTAAAAAAATTCATTGATTTTTTGTCCACCATGGGTTAAACCAATGAAGTTTTTTTCCATTATGCATCTTTGACTCTGATTTTAAAAAAAAGATAATAGAGGAAAAAGGCTATGGTTCCAAACAAGAATGCTGCAGCACCGCTTCTGAGTTCTCTCCTTTAGGAATGACATGTCCACCGTGGGTTAAACTAATGAAGTTTTTTTTTTCATTATGCAGCTTTAATTCTGATTTAAAAAAAGATAATAGAGGTAAAGAAAGGCTATGGTTCCAAACAAGAATGCCGCAGCACGGCTTCTGAGTTCTCTCCTTTAGGAATGACAAAAGGCACCCTAACACTGTGCTTCCGAGTCCCTTCCCAGAGAGTTGGGCCGGAAGGATATCCTAGTCAGTGGCATTGAAAGCTGCTGAGAGGTCCATCAGAAGTGATAGGGACACGTTCCCTCTATCCAGTTCCCCGGTATAGGTTGTCCACAAGGGCAGCCAAAACAGTCTTTGTCCCATATCCAGGCCTGAAGCCAGATTGAAATGGATCTAGATAATCAGTCTCGTGCAAGGACCCCTGGAGCTGAAAAGCCTCAATATCCTGGTTCTCCTTTGTATTTTCATCCCAGATCATACTATAACCTCTTAAGTCTGGAACCTGCTGTTGATTTAGTGCTTGACAGCATAAAGAGGTTGTTCCATTTTGTGCCTAGTCAGTGATGTACAATATACAGCAGACTTAGTTACATGTTGTCAAGTCTGTTTTGAATTTTGGGAACCCTTTCAAGAGTTTTCTTGGTATACAGCACTCCCGCCTTCCAAGGGCACCCTGGTATTGTGTTGCTTGCCCAGTTAGATTGGTTCTTCTCTGGAAGGCGGGGATGGGCAGTAGGAATTGAACTTCCAGCCTCTGACTCTGCAGTCAAGTGACCAACTCACTGAGTTAATCTTGAAGGCTGCAATTAATTGATAATGATTCTGTGCCTGCTTTGAAACAGTTGAAGCTTTTTCCCATCTAAGAGGTAAAATGTGGTAAAAATAATAGGAAGACTCTGGTTTGGCTGTGGCACAGCAACAGTTGGACCACTTTGTTCTCCTACATGGCAGATTGAGCATGCTTAATTTTCTTTTATGTACAGTGCTGTTTGTATGTTAAGATGTACTGAACAAAACTGTGGTTACTGTTGTATGCTCCAGGCTGATTAAAACAAAAGTTCTTCTGTAGGTTTATAGTACATTTCAGGCAGTAGTGATTTCTTATAGACCAGTCAGTGCTGGTAGCCTCACCCATTCACAGCTAAAATAAAAGGAGGCATATATCACCTATATGGTGGGGATCTTCTCTGTTCTTGCTGGCTGCTGGCACTCCCTCCCACAAGAAGCCTGGCTGGCCCCATCTTTGCTGTCCTTCCACAAGCAGATAAAGACCTTTTCCCTCAGGCAAGTTTTCCCTGAGTGACTGGCTGCCTGAGTGGGTTTTTAAAATAGATTGTACCTTACTACATTGAATATCTTTTGGTGTAGCTTTTGTTTGTTGGTGTTGCATTCATTGACCCTTTTCATATTACTGTATATGCTCACGGATGCTAGTTTAAATACTGTACTGTCTTAATTGCTGCAAGCTACATTGGGTAGTTTTAAAGGAGTAAGGTAGATTTAAAATGTTTTAAATAAATAAATAGATCAGAGAACCAACGTAATAAGATGATGCAGGCTGTTGGCTAAGGGTCTACTTGATCTGGATCCAGTGTACCACATTCTGTCTAGCTCCTTAGCAAATGCAGCCTGATCATATGCATGTTGATTTGAAAGTAACTTTAGTAGGGCTTGGAGGCAGGCTGGATACAAATGAACGATTTTTTTAAAAAACACTTTGTTTTAAATCATATCCACTGTGGTTAGAGGCAAGAATATATTGGTGTCTGAATTTCTAGTCCTAAGAGTTCTCACTACTGTTCATGTGGTTTCTTGTACTGTATACTGTATCTGCATTTCTTATTCTGTTCTCTTTGTTTTGGCAAGGCTCCTTCAGTCATCTGACCTGCAGTCCTGAAAGCTCTTTGCATACGCATAACTTCTAAAATAGGATTGCTGGCAGGAAGTAAATACCAGAGTGGCAACCCATTTACAGTACTTGTTTTATGGTAATTGAATTACAAATGCCTTTTACTAACTTGCTACCTTTACAGAGGTAACATGTAAATTGGTGATATGCCTTTAACGTGACAGGTCTTGGTGAGTCTATTGCTTATGTCACAAAGGCCCTCATAGGGCCAATTATATGGATGTTCTTGAATTTCATAGTACATTCGCTGATGTTTATGAAAGGTGTTTAAGAAACTTAGCACTTAAAATATAGACAGATTGATGAGGTTTGCGAATGATGGGAAATTTGGCAGGTCAGGATATTTGGTTTGAGGCTGTTTTTTCTATAGAGTTTGTTCAGGGGTTCATGGAAGTTTCTTCCTTATGTATTTAGATGCATCACTGTAAACGCTACCGCTCTCCTGAGCAGGAACCTTACATGAGCCACAGATGGAAGAGGAGGCGATCTCGCAGCAGAGAACACCATGAAGGAAGAACACGATACCCAACTCGACGGGATCTTTCAAGGAGATCACGTTCTAGAAGGTAAGATGCTATGGATGAGCATTTATATCAGCACGGTTAGTAATGGAAATAGGCTCCAGAGTCGTATTCATAGTTGAAATCTTGGTACTTGCAGTTAGAAAAGCTTTAGGAATCTTCTGCAGCCCTTCCCTTTCCCAAGAATTAGAGGAAAGGATGGACCATTGAGGTAACAGAGGGCAATTGTGCACTTTCTCCATGCTTGCTTCTTTCACACACATGCACCACTAGTTTTCCTGGATCCTGCAAGCTATGTCTTGTTTCTCCTTCTGAGAGATGGAGGAAAGAGCAGTCTAGAAGGGCATCAGAAGGTTGATCTTCAGTCCCTCTGCAGCAGTTTTTAGGCCTTTTCAGCATTGCCTCACTTGGCTTAATTGGGCTGCTTCCCGCCATTCCTGAGGCCCTGCAGCACTAGGACTGCAAAGATGAAGTACCCTAAGAAGATGAGAGAAGGGGTGCTAGAGGTGAGCAGGTGCTCCACCACTATGGTTGCTGTTTGAGGTACAAAGCCTCTGTGAGCCAAAGGTTTCCCATACCTGATCTTGCCTTAGGCAGTTTTGGATGTGCTTTGTGTCTGTCATTATAATAACCAAACATTGGTTATTACAGAGAGCTCTTTAAAATCACATTTTCCATTTCACATGTGCAGTCACAAAGACCAGTTTGAGAGGTGAGTGTATCACCTTTCTGCTTGGTCACTGGATGGCTGAATATGTTTCTCATGTTTTACTGTAGAGGTTAAGTAATGGAAGACTGCTAGGTATGTGAGTGAGGAATATGTGGTTCTGTTAGCACTCTTGAATTGCAATTCAAGTTAGCCTAAGCTAGACAATTGTGGAGGAAGCTGGGAGCTGCAGTTCGAAAACATCTAAACAGCCAAATGTTTCCTCTATGTGCTGATTATGCTGCCATATGCCACCTTGGTACAATTACAATGATTATTATAAAATATGATGGTTGTAAATGAAGAAGCAGGCACACCATAGCAAAAACAACAACAAAAGCCTCACAAAACTGACTATAGGAGGAGACATGGAAAATGATATTCTTCAAAACAATGTGTAATTATGGAGCTTGCTGTCATATGAAGTTCTGAGTACTGTTGGCTGAAATTGAAGATTCTTAAAATTCATAGAGGACTCTAGGACTCTCAGTGGCTGATGGTTCTGTGGAAGGCACATGTTCAGGTGCTGTTTCCCAGCTGCATTTGAGCACATTTAATGTTCTTACTGAAGGGATATGTGTAGTGTCAAACCATCTTAAGCTTTGAAACTAGCAGCTTTTGTGTAAAAACTAAGATAGATACAGAATGTGTAAATTTGCCCTGCATTTAACCCATAGAAATGTTACTGCCAAACAGGCTGGAATTAATTTAAATCAAATTAATTTAAATTACAATTTAAATTTAAAAAAATTGGATCATTTTGACAATATACCGGTAAATTTAAAAATTGTGGATTTTTATCCACCTTGCTGCCAAGGTTTGTGTATTGCATTAGATATGTGGTAGTTGTGTCCACCCTGAAATCAACTCTGTGGCTGAAGAGTGAAAGACACTCCTCTCAGTCTAAAAATTATGGGCCTGCCTGTGATTGCATTGGGGCCACTCTGCAGCAGACTGATGGAGCTGGAGTAGTTTAAAACAAAGAAGATAACTTCAAAGATCAGCAGTGGGGTACAAGTGTATTCAGATGGTTCTTTTAGCTGCATATAGGAAAACCCATTTCAGACTGTTATTCCAGAAGTCACTATCAGATCCCTGGCATAACTGACCTGAAGGGGGAAAATGACAAGAGTTAATTAGATATCTCTTGCAGGAAGTGCTGCCTTGACATGGATATTTTCAATAATATTTGGCTGTTTCATATTGAAAAGCATAACAAAGGGGCATTTTCTGTTTTGTTTTTAAAATTTAAAAGGGCATCCTGTACAATGCAGTGGGAGAGTTAAACTTGGATATTGACAGGTTGAAATCTGTGCTCTGTTCTCAAAACTTGTTTATTCAGAGTCACTGTCTGTTGCAATACAAGATTGTAGATACTCTACAGGTTTTCCAGAATGAGAGCTGTGTTTTAATGAAGTGGGCATCAGTCTGTTGAAGCTTGTGTGAAAAGTTGTTTAATCCTTATGGCAAGACACTTCATTGTTTCTACAGGACTGTATTAGAAGATACTTTCCATCTCAGAAGCTGCTGAAGAAATAATGAATATCGAATATCAAAGAAAGTTCACTGTGCTTTAACTTTTGTGAACTCTAAACTAGCCTGTGATGGTCTTAGGCTTCATTATTATTGTAGGCATATTGAGCACAAGAATGTGTCATACTGGAAATTCTGGAAAGCTGTTCTCAGTTATTAAACCCAAAAAGCAACATTGGCTAATGCTTTACTAGATTAATAAAATTTTGGGAACAGGCAAGTCTTGCAGGATTTTTCTGGGCACTGCAGAGCTTATTGGAACAAAAGAACCCAAAAGTTATTCTGGTTGGATGCAGGGGGCTGCAAGCTTTGAGAATCAGCTTGTGCTAGAAAATGTAAGCTGATTCTACAAGTTTGAAGTCTCCATTTTAGGGTTTTACTTTATACATCTTAAAGCCTCAACATCTGGCTAGAATGATTTTTGGATTTCTATGCCTCCCCCTCCTCTCCCCTAGCCCTGCAGTGACTAGCCTGAAGAATAATTCTGTGTGGTTGGTAAGCTCACTTGATCAGATATTTTACCTGTTTAATTAAGATATTGTGCATCCTTGCTTTTCATTTGGACTGTACATCCCCCCTGCTTTTTTCTTATGAATTACTGAGCAGAAAACATATTCGATTCAGAAATTGGAATTGTCCCGGCTTCAGTCCTAGAAGCTCACTAATGTTATTCCTGGTGCGCTCTGTTCTTCCAGAGACTGGTGGATTCATGTGTTTTCTATATCCAGTAGTCTATTTAAAGTAGCAAAACAGGCTGGAGATACTTGTACAGGGCTGTTGATTTTTGTTCTGTCACAAAACCACTAAGTTTCCTGTTGAGTCAAGTTTCCTCAGCTTTAACTGGATTAAAAATTATAACCTGTAGCTTCAGGGTAGGTAGCCTTAAAAACTATTACAGCTTTAAAAAAATAGCACCAAGGAGAACATTTGAAGTATGTGGTGCCACAGCTAAAAATGACCCCCTACTTCAGAAAATAACATCTGGAAAGGGCTCTAGTCATTTCAACATTCAAGCACATAAATGTAGGAAAAAGCCACTCCGGTGCTCATATAGTAAACCATACAATCAGCAGATTAGGATAGAAGAAATGGAGCGAGAAACATAGTTTCTTCAGCAGGAATAGTGCTTGCTGTTTGGTACTGTTGTGTTCCATTTTCTTCCATTCGCATTCTAGGGTTTGTTCTGACAGGTGGGCAAAAGAGTAAGTAAATCCACCAAACAGAAGTAGCATTTAAAATAAGCAATCTTAAAAAAGAAGTCTATATATGGCTTGTTAGAAAAATTCCACATGGTTGACAGTGAACATTTGCATGTGGTTAACAATATTAAAAAGCTGAAGTACCGTGTAGATGAGCTCTTTTGCACTAGTAAGTGGTTAGCCATTATGATGAGCAAGGTCGATGAGTTCAGAATCGCCTTGAATTATTCAGGAGGCCAGTTTTTAGAGCTCAGCTTGCTGCCATAACAACTTTAACAATCTCATTCTGCCCTGCAGTGGAGTGGTAGCACGCTTACAGTACAGCGGTTGCTGGCAAGTGAGGCTTATGTCCACTGCTTCAAACATGTAACCAAGCTTTTACTTGCAATTCAGCCAGGACAGAATACCCTACCAAAGAGGGTACCGAGACAAAACGGACAGCGATGTCTACAGGTTTGAAGAACGCAGCCCATCTTTTGGAGAGGACTATTACTCTACTCGTCGCTCACGCCATCATCGGCGATCTCGGGACAGGGAGCGCCACAGAACAAGGAAGCACCAGCATCGCTGTCGGAAACGCAGGACCAGGTCTTGTAGCAGTACCTCCTCGGTGAGTAGCATCCAAAATGAGTTCAGGATTTGTCAGGGCCTTAACACAATTTTAGTTCTTTTCCAGCTTTGAATAACATTGGGTGAGTACTTCTAATCCCTCTTTTTCTCCTTAATATGATTTAGAGTTAAGATTTCTTGCAACTGTGTGACTCTAGTTATATTAGCTGTTCTCAGTTCTGCTCTTACGCAGATTTGAACAACAGTAGTAGCCGGGACTCAAGTGTGTGTTTTTCAAGATGGGAGGAAGAAACCAAAGATGGCATGCATCACTATTACTGGTGCACATGGTCTAGAATGGTTGGGCCTCATCCTTTGTTTTGTACACTTGATTGTTTGTTTAACTGAGTGTATGATGATTCTTGGCTGTTGTGTTCAGTAGCCAAAGCAGTCCTCCGTTCAGAACCAAACCCAGCACGGTCACCTTTCTAAGCTGGAAACAAGTTGTGCCTGACCAGTTTCTCACAATGGCTAAGTTTAGAGATTATGTTCTGCTTTCCTACACCCCTTAGGGGGATTGTTCCTAGGATATCACACTGGCCTTGATTATAGTATAACATGCTGGCACAGCTTGTGACCCAGGCAGCTCGTAAGTCTTGCATTGGTGATTTTAATGCACCCCATGGAAAAAGGGGTGTCAGATTCCTTATAGCCCACACTACAAAGGTAGTTGGTACATTTGGCTCTCTAGGTTTTAAGATGTGCAGTATAGATTCTCTGACTTCAACTTGGTTTTGATCCCTGCCAGATTGCAATACACATGTTTGCATACCTCTTATTTCATTTTACAAACTAAAATCCACAAGCAGTACCAAACCTTGTCCATTCATTGATCCAATCCACAAAAGAAGAGAGAAGGGAGCAGATCTGGAGTCACATATATATCTTAGTTTGGCCAGTTTGCATACCTCACAGCTTTCAGAGACTGTGAATACTCTATTTGGTGTGAGTTCTTATGCACATAGTTGTGATGGAAATTCAGGAAACAGTCTGGGACACGTCATCTGTTCTCTTCCTCTTTTCAGTCACAGTTGCTTGTGGCTTACAGCTGAGGCTAATCATTTAAATCCACCCTCCCTTTTTTTGATTCCTGTAGTTGAAATTTGTCCTCTAAAGGAATGTGTGATGCTACTAAGAGTATGGTTTTTGATTGGTGTGACCTAAATTATTTTAGCACTCTAAATTTTTAAAGGTTTTCTCAACTTTCCTATATTTCAGGCACTCTCTGTAAGGGATTTGTATGTAGTTTGCTCTACAGTGGAAGGGGATAGGAGGTAAAAAGAGGAGTGCAGGCTTTGAGCCTGTAACCTGTGTTTTCATCTTAGCCTAGAGAGACCATAACAGTCTGCATGGTGAAAGGTTCTAATTTAAAACAATGACAGTGATTGGAAGATCTGCTCATGATAGTGGGACTCTTCTGGATTGCTTAGCTGTTCTTTCCAGAGCTAGAAGCAATTTGGGATAGGTATTCCTTTCTCTCTCTCTTTCTTTCTCCCTGAGAGAGCCAGATGCTTTCCTGAAGATTGGGAGGAGGCCGAGTGATTGGCTGTCTTTACCTTAGTTGACTTTTGGTATTAATGAGTTCTGATGAGCAGCATTTAAACTACCTGGTTTCAGCATAGGGTCTGGTACCTGCCTCTAGAATTCTTCCAAGCTTGATTTCCGCTCTGGATTGACAGTACCTTGATTTGGCACATTTTCATAGAAGCGGCTAGATGACGCTTTTAAGTGTGTAGTACAATCAGATTTTCTTTGGCTTCCTTCAGGCAAGGATGCCTGAATCTGATTCGGCTGGAACTGGAGGGGAGGGGTAGGTTTAAGAGAAGAAAACACCTGACCTGCTTTTGGGTTACCCATCGCCACAGTTGCCGATGGAGAAGCTGCTGTCCTTGAATCCTCCGTCCTGCGCTGCTCACTGTGACTTCCCTTAGTGATTAAGAGGGGGCAGTAGATGTCTTGGGTGGCACATCCTGTCTGTCACTCCCTGCTCAAGAGCTGCGTGGAAGTGCTGCTGCAAGGCTTCCACACCTGCCTTCCATAGCTAATCAATTTCTTTACATACCTGTAGCTGTTTTTTAACTTTTGTTTTGAAGTCGGTTTGTGTCTTGACGTGTCCCTTGCAATATCCCTATCGTTATATATGCTGTGTGCCTTATGAAATGCTGGGATCTGGAAAATCCAACCACCGACGCATCGTCGTCTCTCCGCCTTTGAATGACAACTCAATTCTGCCAATCGGAACTGCCCGCTGTGTGCGATTGGTCGGATGGCGTTTCGGGGGGCGGTGTGTACAGAGAAGCCAACAGAGCAATAAGCGCAGCAGGAGCGTGGAAGATGACAAGGAAGGTCACCTGGTGTGCAGGATCGGCGATTGGCTCCAAGAGCGATGTACAGCCACCTTTCGTAAAACTTTACCTCTCTACTTTCTATCCCCATGTTAGACGAGATCGCTCTCAGTGTACGGGAGGGGTCTCTAGTGTTTTTTTTGCTTATAAATGGACTGAAAAGTAATTGCTTGAAACAGAAAATAGGCAGTTGTGTGTTAAAAGAATGTAGCTGTGAGAGCTTTTCTTGAAACTTGAATGCTGTGAAATTGCAGGGCCTCATATCCTGCATGTTCCCCGTGCTCACATCTACTTTTGTTTTCTCTCCTAGATGAAATTGTTGGAAGCCTAGGGGAAGGTACATTTGGCAAAGTGGTGGAGTGCGTGGACCATGCCAGGTAAGTCAGAGCGCTTCCCCTGTGCTTCCGTGCATGGAGGCACGACAGGTTTTATTGCCTTGTCGTAGACTGAGAAACAGTTGTGGTCTTGAGCTTGAAGGCTGTGGAGAAAAGGTAGTGTGGGGAACGTACATAGTGAGCATCTGACAGATAAGAACTGGGAGAAAACGGTAGTACAGCAGCCGCCCCCACACCGGATACTGGCCAGGTCTGTGCCCCTTGGCCATGCTGCCTTCGGATGATGTAGTAGTTCAATGCAATTGGGGAGAATTGGATTCAAAAAGGCTGGTTTGTGACTTGGTTTTTTAAATACATATTTTCTGTCATACCCTATCATTGAGGCTTCCAAAAATGATTAGGAATTGTCAAGAGTAAATTCAAGCGAAATAAAAACAGTAAAATATTAGCACACACCCCAGCTAAATGAAACTGAGCTGGGCTAGATATGAAATATCATTGTGAAAGACCAGGGCAAAGAAAAGGTGGCTCATTTTGGTCACATTTCAGGCAGGTCAGTGGCCTTGGGTAGCCGTGAAAAGGAAGGCAAGAAATGCTTTCATTCCATTGATCAGTGCTACCTTCTCTGCAGAAACACTTGAGGGTTCCTGAGTGATCCTGAAGAATTTTCTGACTCAGTAGAACAGTATAGGGCTGGGTAGATCAGGAAGATCCACTGGCAATGAATTCTTCCTTTCCTCTGAGATTTAGCCACTTTCAGGACCTTTCCTGACAGTTGGCTGTAATGATTATGTATCCTTGACATTTTTCCTCTACGTTTTGGCATATGCTGTGCCAGGACCTGATGGGAAGGGTAGTTAGCTGTTTTGGTTTAGGATTTTGTTGAATACCCAAGGAGTAGATTTTAGCCGCAGCAGTTTCTTCACTACAAATCTCTGCTGTTATTTAAGTCTCATTATTGCAATTCTTTTTTTGTTTTTCTTTTCCACTCCCTCTTTTCTCTCCTCTTCTGTAGAGGCAACTCTCTGGTAGCTTTGAAAATTATTCGAAATGTGGGCAAATATCGTGAAGCAGCCAGACTAGAAATTAATGTCCTGAAGAAAATTAAAGAAAAAGACAAGGAAAATAAACAGTAAGTCTTGCCGGTAGAGTCTATATTGGATTGTTCTTTCCATAAAGGAGAGCCGTTGCACAAACTTACACGTGCAGTTGTAATAATGCTAAAACAATAAAGTTGCCAGTTCTCGCCATCTGTGGGAAGAAGTAGTCATCAAGAACTACTTGGCCAGTAGAACAGGTTATGGCTGGTCTGTTGCTCCGTTTAATTTATAGATACTTTTACAGAGGTCAGGTTTGCATCCGCCCCCTTGAGACCTGTGAGGGCTACCCCTGTCCTCTGATGTGCACTCCTGTGCTTCATCCCAATGCAAGCTTGAAAATTGGTGTTGGGGTCTTAATTGCCAGTTTTGCCATCCAGGAGGATACCGTTGGCTATTTTAAGCTGAAATCTACAGTGGTGCCTCGCTTAACGAGCGCACTGTTTAACGACAAATCCGCATTGCGATGTCGCTTTTGCGATCGCAAAAGCGATCGCATTGCGAAGTTCACATAGGCAAAAACTCACAATGCGATGATCGGTAAGCGTTTTGCTTACCGATCTTCGCATTGCGATGTTTTTTAAACAGCTGATTAGCGGTTCCAAAATGGCCGCCGGGTGCCCAAAATGGCCACCGCAAGTGTTTTCGCGCCCTGCCCTCGCTTACCAAGGGCGCAAAAATGGTGGCGCTATGGGGGAACTTCGCTGAACTGTGAGTTTGGGCCCCATAGAAACGCATTAAACCAAGTTTAATGCGTTCCTATGGGTTTTTTCGATCCGTTTAGCGATGTTTCTGCATAGCGACGATTAATCCTGAACGGATTAACATCGCTATGCAGGGCACCACTGTATTTTGCAGGCTGGGAGCAGGGTGTGTTGCACTTGGTTGGGCTCGAGACACTTGTCTGTTACAGAACTTGGAAGTGTTACTTGTTTAGATTACTGGTCCGAGAATTCTCCAGCCACCATGGCCATTTCTGAAGATAGTAGTCCAAAAGCAGTAACTTTTCCAAAGCTACTTTTCTTTGATCTCTTATACTCTTATTCCTTTTTAAGTGGAAGAATAAATCTGACTCCTGTTGGCCCTGTGTAGCACAGTTCCTCTCCAGGCTTTGTACGAGCATTATTTGAGCAGCTTGTTGTTCAGCATTGTCGGACTTTTTCTTGGGTGGGATTGGGTACTTAAATGTAAACGCATACAAACTGAGACTCTGCTAGAACAGACATCAGGGCTTGGGATCCTGACTAGTCTTAGGGAGGAAGGGAATGAGTGTACAATACTTAGAGAGCCACAGTCTCAGTGACGGTTCATTTCTCTTCCTGCCTTGGATCCAGTTTATGTGTCCTGATGTCAGATTGGTTCAACTTCCATGGACACATGTGTATTGCTTTTGAACTTCTTGGCAAGAACACGTTTGAATTCTTGAAGGAGAATAATTTCCAGCCATACAATCTTTCGCAAATCCGGCACATGGCTTATCAGCTGTGCCATGCATTGAAGTGTAAGTACTGCATGTTTTATGTTTTGCTTGAGAAAAAGATGCAAGTCCTTCTTAGCCTCTGGGGTGTTTTGTTCACAGATTGGAAAGGCTTTTGTTCAGACACCTAGGAGATTTGGGAGCAAACAAAACAGAACACAGTGCACGCATCTGTGTGCCCAAACATAACGTCACACACAAAAAAGGACAACTCTTCCAGATTTAAACTACCCAATTTGCTGGGGCGGGGGGCAATGTATAGCTTACATAGTTAAATTGTAAACCGCCCAGAGAGTGCTTTAAATGCTATGGAACAGTAGGTGAGCAGCACACTTTGCTTTGTGTATGCAAGTGTTGGTTTCCTTTACTTCTGCCTTACCAGGGATTTGCAATTCCCCAGGCAGTGTGAATGTTGGATTTTGTTGTCCAGAAACACAGATCTGCGCACCTAATAGCTTTTTAGTATCCTGATAGCGTGCATTGTCTTCTTGAGCCTGAAAATTTTAAATATGAAAGATATAACAAAATTTCTAGGAACTATACCACTGTCCTAGTTGACATCCACTTTAGCACTCTCTGGTGAGGGTGTTTTTTTTTTAAAGTGCTCAAGGCTGTCCCAGTGAAAGGGTTGCAGAATTAGAGATGGGTTTGACAAGCTGGCTGTAATGAAGCTATGAATCTGGAAGAGCAGCTGTCTAAATGTAAAGAGATGAAAATTCATAAGTTTTCAAAAACAGTAACTGAAGATCCAGAATTTATTAATCTACTGCTCTCTGCTCATGCATTCGGGGCAGTTTCCAGCTGAGAGTTTGGTATTTATTCCAATAACAGATGCAAAATGAGAAGGGAGTGCAGAGGAGGAAAATAGACAAGTTCATATAACAGTTCTTAAGTTCCATGATAGTTACAACAGATAAGTGGGAATAGCCAGTGAAATGGTTTTCCCCCCAGATATTTTATTTATATGTTGTCATCCTCCCCATCGGGGACCCAAGCTGGTTCACAACAGTTAAAACTGTGCAGTAATAACAAGCTTAAAATACTATGCAGAACTATCTTAAAACACAAATGTCAGTCAAGATTTTTAAAAAAATTAAATTACATAAATACAGCATTCTCTATGGACACCCACACACCCCATTTTCTTAAAAGGTTCCCTGAAAAGCATGTTCTTTGCCAGACAGTAGGTTTTTTTTTTCTGCACTGGGCTTTCAGCGTACCAGCTTTCCCTCAGATGCAGCCAGGTAGAACAGCTTAATAAAGAAATTACATAAGAGCTTGGAAACTGAAGAGGCTTGGTGCAAATCTTTATAGCATTTATTATTTATTTATTAAATATATTTTTATGCTGCGCCATCTAGTGGCCTTGCCATTACTCTTGGCTGTTTTCATCAGTAGGATAAGCATAAAAAGCACAGCCAAATCCCACCCAACCCGCAAATATAAAAATATAAGAAAAGATTAACATACCTAAAAACTCAAGATGGTGGCAATAGACAAGATATAGACTGCAAAATATAATGCTCAAAAACAAGACTGAGTTAAATATGTCTTACTGTTTTAAAGATTTATGGTGGATCTGTATGTATACTTATGTTTAGAAAAAAGAGAAACTGGGTGATACTTAAGAAGTATGAACATGTTTCCTTCACAAAACATTATGCTGGGACTTCAGTGCCACATTCCTCCTTGGTTTTGTCGAGCTATTTACAGGCTAATTGCAGTTTTCCTTCCGCCCACTGAGACATGCAGCAGTGGGTCAGGATGCCTGTCTTTTGTCCTTTCACATAGGATTTTTTTTCAGATGACTGCAAAACCTCTTGCTCCTCCTGTCAGAAGGCAGCAGTTAAGAGAGTTGCATTCCTTGAGTATCTGTGTAAATTCCAGAGACATTTGGCCCTGTATGAAGTTATTGCAGCTTTCTCAGTTAGAAATGGGGATGGAAGATGTTAGGGTGGCTGAAGTTCACATGATGCAGATTTTAGTACTGAAACACTGTGTGGTAGCAGGATTGCAAAGGCTGTTAAACCCTCTTCTCCCCTTTTGATTTTTATGCAGTTCTGCATGACAACCAGCTGACTCACACGGACCTCAAACCTGAAAACATCTTGTTTGTAAACTCTGAATTTGATATGCTATACAATGAGAAAAAGGTGAGTTTCCCTTGGGCGTGTGAAAATTGTAGGCTTGGACCCATCCCTTTTTTGAGAATCAAAGAGGTAGGGTGAGTATTAGTGTTGGATACATTTGGAGGGCTAACTTTTAAGCTAATGTAAAGTGGTTTGTAAAATGGGCCAGACTTGAGAGACTGGGAGGTTGGAGTCTGGGAGGCCCCAAATCTTTTCCCCCAATGATCGGAAGTCTCCTTTACTATATCTTCTTAGCCTCCAAAGTCTGAATTATTTGATAGGCTGAGTTTTCGTTTTTCTGGAACTTGTCCTATCCAAGATTTAGAATTCCTTTTTGTTTTGAAGGGAAACAGTCATCTGTATAGAATTACTTTATTTTATTATGTTTTATATTCCATCTTTTTGCCTCGTTTTTGGAAGGCTTCTCTCCTGTGTTTGCAGAGTTGTGAGGAGAGATCCATCAGGAACACATGGATCCGAGTTGCAGACTTTGGGAGTGCCACGTTTGACCATGAACATCACACAACCATTGTGGCTACTCGACATTATCGCCCGCCAGAGGTGATCTTGGGTGAGCTGACTTTTCACTGCTGGGACTTTTTGGAGTCAGTTGTGGGAAGGGTTGAGGAAGCAGTGGGTAAGGACAAGGATCACCCTTGGCTTGGTTTGAATGCTGAAATGGGCTGATCTGCAGGAGCAGCAAAAATAAGCTCAAAACTGGAGAGGAATTGGGATGAAGTACTTGGCATAAATATGCAGCAGTTGGGCACTGAGGCTCCAAGAAAAAGACAGAGGCCTGTAACACAGCATTCAGAGGAAACTGGATTTGAATGTTAGCGTTATTGACCCACCCGAGTGAGCTCTGCTGTGGAAGCCAGTATCTTTCTTAGCTTAAGAGGTTCACTGGGGCAGAGGTCCCCAACCCCCGGTCAGCGGCCCGGTGCTGGTCCGTGGCCTGAGCCAGACTGGGCCGCGGAGACAGACCTCCCACACGCACTCACCCCTGCACAGTTGATTTGTGCACGAGTGCGGGGGGTGCCCTGCCTTCCTCAGCCAATCCATGGGGTGAAAAACGTTGGGGACCCCTTCACTAGGGCACCTGAGTATACAGGTGAATGGGAGATCCTAGTTCACTGTGGCTCGTGAGTTTGTCTTCATACTTCCAGAGGGGTGGCTCTTTTAGTCTCTACATCATTGCAGCAAAAGCTCGCATCTTTGTGGCACCTTAAAGATTAACAGATTTTATTTGGCATAAGCTTTGATGGACCGCTATCCACTTCTGACACATGCAGGTGAGGCAGGTGCTGGCTTAAAGAGGCTGGTTCACCTTCCACAAATTCATAAATTACCCCTTAACACCTTGATGCTTTGCAGATGGATTTTGTTTTGTTTTTTACAAATGTTATTCAGATTGCTTTACTCTTAATTATAAATAAAGGCACATTCTCAGTAATACACACAGCCAGAATATGCAAAACCAGGGCACATACAGAGACACACCATAAACTCACATGCTTACAGAATGTTCCTTTCTGGATTTAAATGGGTTTGCAGGCTCCAGGTCTGAATAGGAGTGCATAAACTTCGTGCGTATACATAGACAAAAGAGAGCTTGCATTCCCCACCCCACGAATAATAGCATCAACAGATGTAGTTGGAAGGCAACACCCATCAGCCTTAAGTAATAGACCAGTCACGAGAACTATGTTTGAAAGCCAGTGGAGGGTCACAAGTTGTCTGTCACTGGTGGAAGGGAATGGAACATGTTCATAGAAAGGATGTGCTGTAGTCTCCTGCTTTTATTGGGCTTGATAGGCAAGCCAGGCGCAGTTTGCTCTTCATTTTGTGTGAAACTCTTGATTGTGTGTGAAAAGAGGTTTTTTTCTTGGATAGGCATCTCTACTGCTGGCAACCACTGAAAATTTTCTCTGTATTGCGAAGCAGAAATAGTATTTAGCTACTGAAGGAAAGAAACATGGAGGTATTTGGGATCAGCACATTCCTATACAGAATTGCCACCATTTATTCTATATTTCCCTTTGCAGAACTGGGCTGGGCACAGCCATGTGATGTTTGGAGCATTGGTTGCATCCTCTTTGAATACTACCGTGGGTTTACGCTCTTTCAGGTACAGGAAACACAGCACTTCTAAATGCTCTCATCTTAGTTTCTTCTTGAAACGGCCTAGAAAGTACTCCTCCGTCCCAGTTTCTCTAATGCAGTCCTGAAATTGAAAATAATAATGCGTTGGCAGGGTCTGGAAGAAAAGAGAACAGGAAGTTGCAACTGAACTAGACAGTTGTGTCACAGCCAAGGCTAAGATGCTGGTTGAATACAGCACTGCACAGTTTACTAGCTGAAAGGAGGAAATTTGCCTGATTGACTCTTGCTTAAATGAGAAAGGCAACTGATACTTTTATATTTGCAACTACAAAACCCAGAATTCTGGGCTGTTGATTATGGTGCTTAAGCTGATGTTAAGCAGACACATCTGTAGGGTGCCAGGTTGGAGAAGCCTGGGTCAGGGTTTTTCAGAGTTCTCTGAAAACCACACCTGCTCTGCCGACCTTCAACTGTGGCCTAGGTGAAAACGTCACCCTGCACACCCTCTCTTTTTAAAGGCCATCATCAGCGAGTTCTGTTTCTTTTAACACCCCTAAGGGAAGAATTGTTACTCCGAATCTGTACATACAACACGTGCTGCTCTATTTAGGGTCTCTTGTGAGTAGAGACATGAGCGAGAAGGTAGTTGTGGCCACCTCTGTACCTTACCTGGAAGACTTCTTTCTTACTAGGTTCAGCTACTTGGATGAGTAGCGAAATGTTTCCACCAAATAAGAAAGAAGTCCAGTTGCCATGACTCGGCTTCCAGATAACCTCACCTGGAGGACTGAGAATCTTAACAGATTACAGTGGTGCCCCGCATAGCAACGTTAATCTGTTCCAGGATTAACGTCGCTATACGGAAACATCGTTAAACGGAACTAAAAAGCCCATAGAAACGCATTAAAACACGATTAATGCGTTCCTATGGGCTTAAAACTCACCGTTGAGTGAAGATCCTCCATGGGGCAGCCATTTTCGGTGCCTCTTAAGCAAGGAATCCGTCCAGAAAACAGCGACGGCCATTTTGAAACCGCCGATCAGCTGGCTTCCCCCTACCCAGTTCCCACCCACCCCAGTCCCTGATGCTGGGAGGCGCGCACAGCTGGGGCTTGCTATCTCTCCCGGCTTGCCCCCACCCCCCTCGCCGATGCCGGGAAGAGAGTGCAGCCAGGGCTTGCTATCTCTCCTGGCTTGCCCCCACCCTCCTCGCCGATGCCGGGAGGCGCGCACAGCCGGGGCTTGCTCTCCCTCCCTCCTTCCCCTCCACCTCAGTCCCCGATCCCGGGAAGGGAGCTCAGCCGGGGCTTGCTCTCCCTCCCGGCTTCCCCCCACCCCAGTCCCTGATGCCCGGAGGAGAGCGCGCCCGGGGCTTGCTCTCCCTCTCTCCTTCCCCCCACCTCAGTCCCCGATGCCTGGAAAGGAAAAGCAGCCGGGGCTTGCTCTCCCTCCCGGCTTCCCCCCACCCCAGTCCCTGATGCCCGGAGGAGAGCGCGCCCGGGGCTTGCTCTCCCTCTCTCCTTCCCCCCACCTCAGTCCCCGATGCCTGGAAAGGAAAAGCAGCCGGGGCTTGCTCTCCCTCCCGGCTTCCCCCCACCCCAGTCCCTGATGCCCGGAGGAGAGCGCGCCCGGGGCTTGCTCTCCCTCTCTCCTTCCCCCCACCTCAGTCCCCGATGCCTGGAAAGGAAAAGCAGCCGGGGCTTGCTCTCCCTCCCGGCTTCCCCCCACCCCAGTCCCTGATGCCCGGAGGAGAGCGCGCCCGGGGCTTGCTCTCCCTCTCTCCTTCCCCCCACCTCAGTCCCCGATGCCTGGAAAGGAAAAGCAGCCGGGGCTTGCTCTCCCTCCCGGCTTCCCCCCACCCCAGTCCCTGATGCCCGGAGGAGAGCGCGCCCGGGGCTTGCTCTCCCTCTCTCCTTCCCCCCACCTCAGTCCCCGATGCCTGGAAAGGAAAAGCAGCCGGGGCTTGCTCTCCCTCCCGGCTTCCCCCCACCCCAGTCCCTGATGCCCGGAGGAGAGCGCGCCCGGGGCTTGCTCTCCCTCTCTCCTTCCCCCCACCTCAGTCCCCGATGCCTGGAAAGGAAAAGCAGCCGGGGCTTGCTCTCCCTCCCTCCTTCCCCCCACCTCAGTCCCCGATGCCTGGAAAGGAAAAGCAGCCGGGGCTTGCTCTCCCTCCCGGCTTCCCCCCACCCCAGTCCCTGATGCCCGGAGGAGAGCGCGCCCGGGGCTTGCTCTCCCTCCCTCCTTCCCCTCCACCTCAGTCCCTGATCCCGGGAAGGGAGCTCAGCTGGGGCTTGCTCTCCCTCCTGGCTTCCCCCCACCCCAGTCGCCCCCGCCGGTAAGCTGGGGGAAGATCGCAATACGATCGCAAAAGCGATCGCAAAAACTTCTTCGGTATGCGGATTCGTCGTTAAACGAGGCGCCCGTTAAGCAAGGCACCACTGTACCTAGGTTACCGGTCAGGAAACTCTGCATCCCACTTCCTATCCAGCCCAGCAGCGTCTCAAGGGCCTCATGTGGTTAGGCCCCCAGGGAATGATATCCATGGTAGAGAAATAGAGGTTTGGTCCACACATTGGGTGCTTGCTTGTCTTGAGTGAATAGAGTTCCTTTTGTTTTACTTTGCAGACTCACGAGAACAGAGAGCATCTTGTGATGATGGAGAAAATCCTTGGCCCCATCCCGCAGCACATGATCCGCAAAACTCGGTGAGAACATGGTTTGATCTCTGATTCTCTGCCCCCAAATTAGTAACATACATTTCTGAAGGATAGATGAAGCACAGGCAATTTATTGATAGCTTAGTACTTCCTTTAGATGTTTTATGCTCTGGGGAATAAATCCCAAAGATTTATTTCAAGGAGCAAGGACCCTCATGAGGCACAAAAGCCCTGTAGATGACAAAACATTTGGTGTACTTAGTACAAGTCTTTTGTGTATTGTTATAAGTAGTTTGTATTACAGATTGCAATATTTGGGAGAGGGAGAGCTTAGCTCTGGACTAGTTCTTGAAGGCATGCACAATTGGTTTTGTCTGTTTGCACTCTTCCTGAACACACTCTTGTGTTTCACTGCATGCAGGAAACAGAAATATTTTCACAAAGGAGGCCTGGTGTGGGATGAAAATACCTCTGACGGAAGATACGTCCAAGAGAACTGCAAACCACTGCAGGTGAGAACCCCTCGGGGTCTCCTGTTTCAAGGAAATGTTGATAGTTCTGCAAGTAGGTTTTTGACATGGTTTGCTGAAAGCCTTAGTTAAAAACAAAGCATGGCATCTGTGTCTATCACCATGCCTTCCTTGTCAGTGTGTCTTCTGGGACAGGTGGCCAAGTCAGCAAAGCTAGAAATGGTTTCCAAAAAAGACAAAAGAAAAACAGGGGCTGACCATATCTAAATAACTGTCTCAGTCTGAATTATGGGCGAGAGCGTGAGTTGGGTGGGTTTGTTCTTCTCAGGAAAAATCACGAACAAATTGCCATTCACCCCATATCCTGTCTTGGCAGCGGTCTTAGGGGTGGTACAGGACATCCTCTCATTAATTGTGCTGCCACACTGGGGTGGAATGTTGCTAGGCACAATTGTGTATATTTACATGTAGAAGGTTGCCAGCTTGTCATAAAAAGGGAGCTGAGAGGGGTGACAAGTCTTCCTGTCGTGCCAGAAAAGCCAAATTTGACTTGCTTAATCAGTTTAGAGGTGCTTATTTGTTAGAAATTACATCAAACAACAACTTCTTTCTGACCTTAAGTATGTTTGCTCAGCATGCAAAGATGAGAGTGCAGAAACTCCATCCTGCTCGATGTGCCTTTGCTTGCATGGCAAGCAGCTTGTCTGGGCAGGCTCTGTGCATGAGCTAGACTAAACATAGGAAAACAGAGTCTGGCTTGCAGGGGATCCTCCTCAGATAGAAGAGTCTTTACTCTTCAGACTCCTCCCTTTTCATGCGAACAAAGGCATTCCCGAGGAGTGCTGTCATATTCATCTCATCAAATGCTGAAGAATTTCACTTAAGAATGCCTGAAAAGGGCTACCGTAAGTCAAGAGTTTCATTCTGTGCTATTTTGTGCCTGACAGAAATTGTGTTCGTATCATACATTAAACTTGAGATGGAGACACAACCTTGGCAGAAGATGCAGGCCTATTAAATTTGCTCTTTAACTAGCTTGGACGTCTTCTGTGGTGCATCCCTTCTATGATAGTTTTAGTGCAGAATTTCTCAATGAGAAATTTTAAAATTCCTAGACTACGTCAAAATACTTTTATCTTTGTTTTCTTGAATATAAGCAGGGTGACAGTAAGCCTGTTTTGTCTCCTTCCAACTTCTCTCCCAGACATACATGCTGCATGATTTCACCGAGCACATTCAGCTGTTCCATTTGATGAGGCAGATGTTAGAATTTGATCCTGCCCAGCGGGTTACGTTTGCTGAAGCTCTGCACCACCCATTCTTTGCTGGCTTGTCTCCAGAGGAAAGACGGCTGAGTTGCCGAGATTCAAGCCGGGACCTGAGCAGATGACAGATAAGAGTAGAGATTTCTGCTGGATATGTACATATTCTGAGATTGGCCTGACTTTTTATGGTGGAGATCCATTGACCCTTCTTTAGAAGAGCGTCCCAAGTTGTTGGTGCAATGTCAAGTTGGACTCTAGACACGGAAGGGGAATGAGACAAGATGGCAGTCCAAAAGCACAGATTTGTCTCAAATATTTATATGTTGTAAAGTTCAAATAAAGTGTTTCATATTGTTTGATAATTTACTTGTATGACTGTGTCCAGCTATTTTTGCTCCTTACCCCTACTGATCTTTTCTGTTAACAATAAAAATGGTGGTTTTGTATCTTGCCACAAAGTATGCACTGGGCGTTCATGGAGTAATTTGTTGCCATCCTTTGCGAAGAACCACCATGCGATATGGAAGAGTGGGGAGGGTTTTGTCCATCATATGAGAGTATTCAGACCAGGGGGAAGTGAAGCCAACGTGGAGGATAGATCAGGGGGCTCCTGGCAACTCTCCTCAGACTGAAGCAGCTACAGTGGGGTCTCTACTTAAGAACTTAATCCGTATTGGAAGGTGGTTCTCAAGTTGAAAAGTTCTTATGTTGAATCTGCATTTCCCATAGGAATGCATTGAAAACCATTTAATCCGTATCTGCTCTTTTCCGTCCATAGAAATTACAGTGGAACATCTACTTAAGAACTTAATCCGTTTTGGAATGGTGTTCTTAAGTTGAAACAAAATTTCCCATAGGAATGGACTGAAAAACAATTAATCCGTTCTGGCTGTTTTTTTGTTATGTAGAGGTGCGTTTGTACATTAACCAAAGCTGGTTAATACGTACTCTACCACTATGGGGAGAATTTTTTTTTAACCTAAGATGACCTAAGGTTAAAAAAAGAGCAGGAAAGGTTTTTTTTCCTGTTCTTATCTTGGATTTCTGTTCTCAAGTAGAAGCAAAATTTAGCAAATGGAGCTGTTCTTAAGTTGGATTGTTCTTAAGTAGGGAAGTTCTTAAGTAGAGACCCCACTGTACTTGGATGAGTATTGAAGTGTTTCAACCTAACAAGAAAGAAGTTCAGTTATCATGACTCAACTTCCAGATACCACAGGAGAAAGTTTTTCAACATTACATTGAATTTTTGCCCTCTATGAGCCCTTTTGGTTGAGGAGAGAGGGTAGAGGGTTGCTCTCACTGCATTAAACCTCACACTACAGCATGGAATCTATTTCAGTTAGTCCCTACAAATTTAGTGTAGCCATCAATGGCAGTGGCAAAGTCCAGTTCTGTGCTAGTTGTTCAGGCTGGCAGTGTTGCACATGCCAAACACAGCTCTTTAGATCCCTACTGTACCAATCAAGGGATTTCATTCTGATTTTTATGGGAATCAATCCTGCCACCACCCCAATGACATATAACTTGAGACAGCTCTGGAAAAGAAAGTGGATCATTAATAAGGAGAGGCATCCTTGGATGAGAAATGAAAACATTGCACAAGCAAACCTGTTTTAACTGCACAGTTTAATCATTGTGACTAGTGGAAAGAGTTTCATATGGCACCTTGAGAGACACAGAAGTCAAGCATGGTTGATTTCTCAAGAGCAGAGAGATCTTCAACTTGCCACTGCATTACACCCCTGACTGGATAAAAAGTGTCTGACTGGGAAAAGGAGAAGAGAAAAACATTTCTTCCCAGCAGCATACAGTTTAACAGCAACAGACTCTTCCCCAGCAAGCAACACAGGACCCTGACCTTCCTGACTCAAAGGGGCACATATATGGAAGGGGGCAGTAGCAGCCGAGATGCACAATTCACTAGTCATTATACAAGCTAATGCCTGAAAATGTGAGGATAAAGATCTCAGTGCAATGGTGCATGCAGGAAAAAGCTGCTGCTACACCAGTCAGCTTGCTCAGCAGGTCTCTGAATGTTTCACTACTTCAGCCCTCCTGGCAGAGTGTTCGGCACTGTTAGGTGACGCTGCACCCATTTCACTGCTTCATTCAAGTATAGTTATCCCTTTGAGAGGTCCCAAGAAAGAAACAGAACCAGATCCCACCAGCCATGTACACGTGTCTTCCCATGGACCTCACATTCAATGGGGGCTGCACTGTACTTATATGATTCCCATTCTCCCTCTCGCACACAAACACCAGTTTCTCATATGGATGGACAGGCATGTACAACTGCTCCACAAAACATTTTTTTTCTTTAAAAAGGAGCAGATGCCAGCAATGTGTGCTCTATAGTAAGGTAGCAGGATACAACCATTACGTCTGCTCCCTCAATCTCTTCTTTAAGCCACTTTTTATTACACCCAGGTTATGAGACACTCAGTGAGCCCAAAGGAAGCAATTGCTACTTAGCAGAAGTTAGGAGCATAAGTGCTGATCCAGAAACTCCTAAAATCCTGGCACAATAGATTCCAAAAGCCAAGCAACCCGAGGTCACAAGTCATTTGTGGTGCAACACAGAGAGATGGGCCTATAGCTGCACAAGGGGGGGGAAACAGTAGAATGGCAACTGTTCCCACATGGTAATCAAGGAAAGGGGTTCTTAGAAAGCCCTTCCCTCTCAAAGTCCTCAAAGATAATTAAAAAACCTGGAAAAAAAAAACAACATACTGTCTGGTACACAAGCAATCTGGCAGGGATGTTTGCATGTGAGAACAAAATACATCTGGCCCTGCCCTGCCACCACCAGAGCGATCCCAGCCAGTTTCAGACACTGGCTATCTTGTGCTCCTTCATGCAATGGCATGACAGCATCTGTGGCTCAGAGGCCTCTCAGTTCTCATTAATGCATACTCTTTCCCTGGAAGGAATACAGCCCAGAAGGGTTCACATCCTTAAGGCGTCAAAGAGTTTAATACAGTCAGAATCCGTCATTTGGTTAAAGAATCCGTCATATGCCTTGTCTTCTTCTCTGGGGCCAAGAGGTACAAGCCCTCTGCCCCCGCTACTTTAGGTCGAATGCAGGGGGATGACAAACTTGCAGCCAAAAGGTGAGTGGTAGTTTATTCCCACTTCCTGGAAGACCTTCTGGGGAATGCCGATGTCACACAGGTACACCCGCCCAGCCCTCTCGCCCAGGGGCAGGGGCAGGCCGAGGGCTAGGGACCACTTGGCATCAATGCCTTGTTCGGCCTCGTTCACAGGCGGGTCTATGCTAAGAACTGGGGCTCTGTTCTGATTGGCCCAGTCCACAGCAGCCTTGTACCAAGGCTGGTCCCGCAGAAAGGCATTTTCATGGCAATCCAAGCAGTTTATGACCAAATCCACTGGTGTGTCTGGGAGATCTGAAGACAGAGAAAAGAGACAGCTTTACTTGTTGATCAAACAGGAACAGAGCAGCTTCATTCCATTGCTTCTCATAAGAACAGTCCTGCTGGACCAGACCAGGAGTTCCAAACCTTGTGTCCCCAGATGTTCTTGGACTACAACTCCCAGAAATCCCGGCCAGCACAGATAGTGATGAAGGCTTCTGGGGATTTTAGTCCAAAAAACATCTGGGAGCCCAAGGTTCGGAAACCACCTATGTAGGTAATCTGGTGCCTTCCAGATGTTATGGCTTAACAGTTCCCCTAAGCACTTAGCCTTAACCATGTTGCTTGGGCTTACAATATGTAGCTCAAAACATATGGAAGGTCCCAAGCTGCCTATCCCTGTTGTACTGGACTGAAAAGTGTTGCCACCTGCATATCGAGGTTCCACTCGAATAACAAAGAAGCATTGCCACTGAAGGACAAGATGTCTAATTTGCCTAATTCCTATTTTAAAACAAACAGAATGAAGGCAATGTTTCAGAAGCCTGATTTCAAGGTTGGGGCTCCTTTCACTCGTTTTTCATTTGCTTGTCAGTGGAGAAATTTGATTCAGACACCCAAACTGACCACAAATAAGTGAAAAATACTTGAATCTCTTGCCACTAGATGGTGCTGCTAGCTTGAATTCATTACCTTCTCCAAGTAGACAAAACAAAAGTTTTTGCATTGATTACCACTCATGTAGGTTCCCATAAAGGGGTCATGAAATAGGAAACGGACCAGGATCCGGGAGAAGTGGAAAGGCTGGGGGAATCATTTTAAAAGGTGGTCACAGAGGAGGGGAAGACAGAGAAAGTTGGTGGGAATGGAAATACAAGGAAGACGGGAAGGCACAAAATCTCTTTTAGTGGAGGCAGGAGAAAGTAAGAGCAAGAAGACGGAGAGGATCCCATCCCACCCGCATGGGAATGGATCTGGTTAGAGAATCTCGGGATGCACAAGTGGGAGAGATGGAGGGTGTCCAGGGAAGAAGCTGAGTGCAGAAGGAGGGCAGTGGTTCCCCAGAAATCTTACTGGGGAGAAGAGAAAGGAGCACAAGAGGGGGGTGGGTGGGGGGTGTAGGCTGAGAGAAGAGAGAGAGAAAGAGAGATTTATTTTATTGATTTATTTATTGCACTTATATGCCGCCCATCTAGACATTGTCTACTCTGGGCGACTCACAACAGACAAGATAAAAACAATTAATACATAACAAAAATTACAGCATTATACAATGAAAACAATGGTTCAAGATGGGAAGAAGAAATTTAAGTAGTGCCTGGAGGGAAGGCCTGTTTGAATAACCAGGTCTTAAGTTGGTTTTTAAAAATGGCTCCGTTTTAGACCAAATGGATCTCGGAAGGGAATTTGTTCCAAAGAGAACACAAAAGGGCACAAAAGACGATGGAGAAGAGAGTGTCCCGGGGACCTGGGATTTCCTCGAACCGGGTGAATGCTCGACAGGGGAGGAGTACCTGGGAGAAACCACCACCCCCCCTTGTTGCCATTATCACCAGGGACAACCGTGAGAGACCGGGACCAGATAAACCAATCAGGACCCTGGAATGTTAGCCAAGATAACCCATTTGTTAACCAAGACTGGTTAACCTTTTTCTGTCCCATTGGCAAGAGAGGAGATACAGTGGTGCCTCGCAAGACGAGCGCTCCGTTTTACAACGAAATCGCATTGCGACGAAGTTTTTGTGATCGCAAAAGCGATCGCAAAACAATGTTTCCTATGGGGGAATTTCGCTTTGCGATGATCGGTTCCCTGCTTTGGGAATCGATTCTTGCAAAATGACAATTTTCCTACAGCAGATGGGCGGTTTCAAAATGGCCGCCGGGTAAAAAAAAAAAAAGGCTCCCCGCTCTTTTCTGGGACGGATTCCTCGCTGCTCGGATAGTGAAAATGGCCGTGCTATGGAGGATCTTCGCTGGACGGTGAGTTTCAACCCCATAAGAACGCATTAATCGGGTTTTAATGCATTTTTCTATGGGCTTTTTAATTTCGCTTTACGATGTTTTCATTCTACAGCGATTTCGCTGGAACGAATTAACATCGTAATGCGAGGCACCACTGTAGCCCATATTCATCTTGATGTCAATAGTATTACTGAAGTTCCTACAATTTTTCATGTGTGACCACTTGAACCTGCGTCCGAGTCTGAAGAGGTTAAACCTAAAGCAGAAGGTACACTAAGCAAATCCAAACCTGAACCCTCACAGACATTCAGAAGCCATTGATAACTGAGCAACGGCCCACAGCGTCAGCTGATGAGCTTGGTTAAAACCAGCTTTGACTATCTCATTCTAGAGTGTCTTCTTAAAAGGAACTTTTCAAGCTCTGGAATGAAAGAATTCTGGACCAACGCATTTATTTTGATGATTACAAAGTCAGACCTTGATGAGTGTTTTGAAGTTTTTAATAGCCCTGGCCCTGGACCATCAAAAGAAGCTGCCCTCTTGTCAAGGCCTTCTTTAGAGGCTGTTATCTGGGTGAGGTTTGGTGAGTGGCTAAAGGAGAAAGCTCCTTTTATCTGCTTGCCCCCAAATAGGGGAATTCCCCACCCACCCCCGAGCTAGACTTGCCAGGCACTGCTCATTTTAGCATCTTCTTGATTAGACAAGATTAAGTAACTTTTCTGGTAGAGGGAAAGACACTGTCAGCCTCACAAAACCTCAGAGGCCCCACACTCCCTTCATCATGGCCACTGAAGCTGCGACCACCACCAAACTCTCACGGCAACTGCAGTGGCTCTATGATGTGGGTGCGTGAGTGTGCATACATGTATGCAGGCTGTCGTTCTCACTCAGGAGCCTTGCAAAACCGAGGCAGAGCATCACACAGAGTCCTGGGCATCAGAACACTTTCCAGGAGTTTGTAGTAGCTGCAGTCTGAATGGGGTGCCTTGCCGCAGCTTTCTCATCACTGGAGCAAGCATGTGTGTGCAAAACGGACGTTCAAGATCCACATGTTGCCCACACTTCTTTTAGAAGCCTGCCAAATTCAGACTGTTCCTCTCATGAGCTTTTGGCGGAATCTAACTTCTTTTAGTTTTCTCTCCACCTTCTGAAGTTACTACCAGTTCCTCCTGGCTCTTTACAGTTATCCTTCCTATTAATGTGCCATTTTAATTGTTTGTGGAGTTTTTATTGTTTGTTTTAACCTTTTGGCTGCCTTAAGGCTTTGCAATAACATGACTTAGGCACTGAGGCATGACTTAGGCAGGCGCTGGGCCTGACGGCAGCTTACCTTTGACACTGGACACTTGTTGGCTCTGGGTCTTGCTGAAAAGGGTCAGCTCATTGGTAATCGATTCCAGCATCTTGACAAAGTTGGGAAGGAAGAGAATGACATGTACATCGTGATTGGAAAGATGCCGGCCACAACTGATTCCCTGGGCCCCCTTGACATGAGGTCCACACAGCAAAGCAACTGTGGGTCGCTGGTGAATGTTTTTAGGGTTCAGCCTGCAAGTTAAGATGTGTGAACAGTCTTTAGCATCACAAGCACTTGCCTGGAAATGCATCTGGAATTTTTAAATATTGCCTCCTTATATGAAAGAGACACTTTCAAAATACATAAGACTCAGGAGGCAAGAGGGAGACAACTGTCAATCTACATTCACAATGGAAAACGGTTATCTACAGAGGACGCACATATGCCTATAAAGCAGTGGTTCCCAGATGTTCTTGAACTCCCAGAAGCCTTTTCACTACTAGCTGTGCTGGCCAGGATTTCTGGGAGTTACTGTCCAAGAACATCTGGGGACCGAAGGTTCCCTGTAAGCTGGGTGCGCATACCTCTGCCTCCCTCTGCACAGCGATTGCACTGGAGGACACAGCATGCGCATGGGGTGTGTGTCAAGCGCATGCACAGGAGCAAAGTCACATGTGCGAGAGAGGCAGAGCCCCGCTCAGCACAGCCGAAAGAGGGTACACTGCTGGGGACCCATGGTTGTGAACCACCACTATAAACGAAAGTATTACAAATAAGAAACTCAGCTAAACTGATTATTACTATTTGTAACAGCTATCTGCAATTAAAGAATATTTAGAACATGTCACAGCAGCAAATGAAGGAAAGATATCAGAATCATTCTCTTGACAACACAAGGAGACAGAGAATCTACTATTTCAGTCCTTTAACATTCTAGTTCCAATCACTTTCATTAGTAGTTATATATGGAAGTCTCCTTTTTCTCAAGCTGGAAATGTTACTTTTTTTGGACAAAAATACTGGCAGTTTTTCATCCAGCTGTGCAGTAAGCCAGGGTGCTCCAGATGCAGATGAACACCAATAGCTCCTTTCCCAGAAGAAGGAGGCTGATGGTGTTTCTACCAGATATTGTAGACTTTATAGTGGTCCCCAACTTTTTCCAAGCCGTGGACCCGGGGGTCGGGGTCCGTGCATGGGGGCAGGGGCACCCCACACACTCATGGATGCATGCACAAGTGGGCGGGGTGCACTCGGGGGTGGGCAGGCCGTGTGTGCATGTGGGCATGCGGGGGGGAGTACGTGCAGGGGGGTGGAAGATCTGTCTCCAAGGCCACGGTCCAGTACCGGGCTGCGGGCCGGTGGTTGGTGACCCCTGTTGTAGAGCAATAGTAAAGATGGACATCCAGGCAATGCTCTGATTTGCCTCATTTGTAGCATTTCTTTCCCACTCTTTTCAAGCTAACAGGCAGCACCCAAGAACAGGAGGCTAAGGAACCTACTGGTAACATGTTCAATTCCCCAAATCCTTTCATGCAGTGGTTCCCAACTATACGAATACCACCACACTGGTGGCAATAATGAGGGTCCAGCCCCATGAGGCCAGACGGTCCACTCATCGATCCGCTGCTGCAATCCCTCCAATGACTCCGAAGTTCGCGATCCACTCGCCACTACTGGGAGGAGGTGGGATGACAAGCCTCCCTACCAGGTCGAAGAGTGCCTTGCCAATAACGATCTCCGGAGTCACTGGAAGGACTGCAGCACCCACGCCAGTGGCAGATCGGTGAGTTGACCGTCCAGCCCCAGGGGCTGGACCCTCATTGTCACCACCTGTGCGGGAATATTCGTAATTCGTACATTAATACCCCCATCTCTATTCCCAACCTTGGGAAACCCAGCTGTTCTTGGACTGCAACTCCCAGAAACCCCGGGCAGCACAGTTGGTGGTGAAGTCTTCTGGGAACTGCCGTGGGAGAACACCTGGGTGACCCATGGTTGGGAACCACTGCTTTCATGGAAGAAACTAAGGCTCATAGTAACAAATTTTGGAAGTTAAATAGGCGAAGTTTTTCTGACCCAACTCAGTCTGTTTGGCTGGGATTGGTCAACTTTTTCTACGATGCTCCAAGGAACCAGAAAGGTTTTCAATAACAAATCTGTCTCCAAAAGCCAAGAGCCAGAATGCATGCACTGGAATGCCTCTATGACCAGACCAGTCCATCCCTTAATAAGAGCAGCTTAAACTCAAGAGACACAAGAACAGGGCAAGCAGAGCTTGTGATGTCCTACAGAAGCTCTTTACCTGTTGGGCCCTCCAAGCAGACTCAGGGCCATTTGGCTAGCACAGACTCCGGTCATCTCCAGTCTCCGTTCTAGTGTCAGCCCATGTTTCTCAGCCACTGAAAGAAGCTTCTTGTGCAACTCATAAGAGACACTTGGAACAACCAGTCCTGAGTCTGAAAGGCAAAACGAGGAGAGAGCGTACTCATTGGGAGACTCTTGGCAAAAAGAATACGGCTGGCTCCCAAGACCTGGTGCCTAGATAAGCCATCATGACACTGCTGCAAAAAAAATGGGTCTGCTTCAAACCCAGTCACAGCATCAGTCACAAACTTTTTGGGAAATAACAGGTCAGTGCTTAAGTAATTCCATTTCTACACAACAGTGTGGAACAGCTCAGTACAGGCTAGGCCACTGGGGGGAAAAAACAGTGGGTGGTGTGCCGTCGCTGCGGACCTGGAACCGGAAGTGGCGGTGGAAAGGGGAATCCCAGCATGGAGGTGCCTCAAGCCCTCTCCACTGCGAGCACCAGTTGCTCCAGATCCACCTGCCCAAGGGCCAGTACCAGCTGCAGCCACCTCCTGAGGTTTGGCTGTGTGTGTGGGAGAGGGGATTAGCGATCTGGTGACTTACGGCTCACCTGCCAGCAGAAAGGGCTCCACGTGCCAGCTGTGGCACGTGTGCCATAGGTTTGCCATCACTGGGCTAGGCAAAAACAAACAACAAAAGAGGAGAGAGCTCATTACAGAGAACAAAATGGTCTCAATACAGAGTTTATATATTTAGCCTTGTAAGTAGAGATGGGCACGAACTGCTCAACCGTTGGTTCATGCCAATTTGTTTTTCATCTGAAAGGTGTTTGGCATTTCCAGCCCCACCTCCTCTCGTGGGTGCCCACTCAGAAGGAGTGCCCAGGCAGGGCACTGCCTCCGAGTGGATGCCCACCAAAGGTGGTGGGGCTGAGAAGCACTGAACATCTGTTTGGGTTAAAAACGAACCAGCGTGAACCTGTGATTTGTGCCCACCTCTATTTGGAAGTTAACATTTTGGTAAGAATATATACAGACATACATTATGAACTGCATTGAAATGCGACTTTAAGAAACACTGATAAACTGAACTGCATTGAGATGCGACTTTAAGAAACACTGATAAACTGACAGAGTTTGAACTCCCATGAAAGAGAGAACAGAAGGATCTGAGTGGACCCCGTCCATCTCATCCAGTGCCAACGGCCGAACAGATGCCTCTGGCAAGCTCAGCAAGGGGAGGTGAAGGCAACTTCACTCTTTCCTCCTCACTCACATTCCCCAGAGCCACTGTGTTTCTGATTAATTAACTGCATACTGTTCACTTGATTCTGACACATGGTGGTCCCTTCTTATATCCAGAGTACTCAGAAGTAATTTACTATTCATTTGCTCTGGGACCACGTGATTTGCCCAAGGCCACCATGGCTCATATCCAGAGTACTCAGAAGTAGTTTACTATTCATTTGCTCTGGGACCACGTGATTTGCCCAAGGCCACCATGGCTGGCTCTTTGTCTACAAGGCACACTGGGGAATCAAACTCCCAGGTTCTGACTCACTGAGCTATCCAGCCAGTCTCTCTGATACAAGAGGAAACATACAGTCCTCATGATTGGCAGCTTTATCGAGGCAGTCAGTGCACTTATCACTCTACAAAAATCAGTTCCCACAAGTCCTCTGCGTATCACAAAGGTTCAAGTACAAACGAAGCAGTTTTAAGCAAGCCAAACAGGCTTGTGGATGGAGACCTTCCAGTGTTTTGCTACCTAAGGAAAAATGGTCAAGTAGATTAATTGGGGCCCCTCTGGGAAAGTACTCTGCTCTGGGAAGTGGTCCTTATATTATTTCCTGTCCTTAGATGCCCTGCTTCATTTACGACTTGGACATATCGAAAACCAACATCCCTTAGCTGAGAAGCACCCAACAAGATCGGCCCAATCTTCAACCAGCCTTGTACATCTGCAGTACATGCCCTCTTTATGCATCTGTTCTCCGCTCGACCCTTGCCCATCCTGGCTAATGGAAGATCTACCAGGGGAGTTCGCACCATTCCCCCTAAAGGGACAGGGTCTGCAGCTTGGGGGTGCTCCTGGACCCCAGTCTAACACTGGAAGCCCAGGTGGATTCGGTGGCCAGAGGCACCTTCCTTAAGCTGTGGAAATTATACCAGCTACGGCCCTACCAGGACGAGCAGAGTCTCATGACAGTTACACACGCACTGGTAACATCTCGCATAGATTACTGCAATGCACTCTACGTGGGGCTGCCTTTAAAGACGGTCTGGTGACTACAGCTGGTCCAGAATCGAGCTGCGCGGCTGGTGAGTGGTGGGGCCACTAAGGGACATATCAAGCCGATTCTGTTCAAGTTACACTGACGACCAGTTGCTGCCTGGGCCCAATTCAAAGTGCTTGTTTTGATATATAAAGCCCTCAACAGCTTGGGCCCTGGATACCTGAAGGTCCGCCTCCTTCCATATGAACCTACCCGGCAGTTAAGATCTAACCACGGGGGCCTTCTGAAAGAGCCATCCCTTAAGGGCTTGTAGAAAGGGCCTTTTTGGCAGCTGCCCCCAGACTATGGAATGCCCTCTCAACTGAGATTCGTCTGGCGCCGACACTGATGACATTTTGGCACCAGGTCAAAACCTTCCTGTTCCAGAAGTTTAACTGAAATAATATCAGCTGTGGGTCGGACGGCAATTTTTAGAGTATATATTTTTAATTGCATTTTAATTATTTTGCCCTTTTATTTTGCCTTTTTATTGCATTTTAAATGTTGTAAGCCACCCAGAGACCTTCGGGTAGCGTGGGCGGCATATAAGTTAAATAAATAAATAAATCTGGGATCTCGATTTAGATGTCCAAATTAGTGCAGGCAAAAGTACGTCATCTGCACTTACATGACAAGAAGTACGTGGCAGTGGCAGAACGCCTACACACAACAGGTACTGCCTATCCTACTCACACTTCCCAGGCAGGATGACCGAGGGTGTTAACTCTGAGGGAGGCCCGGAGGGAGAGAATAAGGAGCCAGGCCTTCCCGGTGGTTGTGCCCCATCTGTAGAATGAACTGCCATCTGAAATCTACCTGGCTCCCTCCCTGCTATCTTTTAAGAAATCTCTTAAAACATTTTTATTCTTTTTAAAGCTTGCCGACCAAACACTTGCTGAGAGCACCAGCCTTTTATAAATAACAGCCAACTATTTTAATATGTTTTTAATTTATGATCATTTAGTTTGATTTTATTGCTCTGATTGTGTTTATGTTTTCTTTTATGTCACTCTGATTGCTGTGAACCACCCAGAGTGACCATTGAACAGATGGGCAGTACGGATATTAAATACATAAATAAATATACAATAGTTGTGACAGCGCGATTTTGATACATGGCCAGATCTACAAAGTTCAACACTCTCCATTCTAACGATCCCTGGTGTGGCGATCTCCTCTGAAGCCCCTATTCCCCCAGGCCTTCACGAGGTTCTCGCTCTTCTTTTTTCTTTGCTGCCACCAGGTATTACTGCCTTAATACCATTTAATCATGGAGACATGTGTGCTTTTAAAACTTAAGTCATTTATTAGGACAGGGAAGTTAACATATGATTAATATTCAATAGGTAAATCACAGTTTGCTAATCACTTGTATTTGAATCAATTCTACTTTAACTTTAAAACTCTATTAACTCTCTGTTCCATTCAGCGTTCTTACAGATCTCTAACTCACTCTTAATTCACTTTTAAGTTCCCCCCCCTTCAGACTCCATACACCAGCCTTTATATCCAGCCCCCTCCCCCCTTGGCTCCGCCTTCCGTCCACTCATAGGCTCCTTTTTCACTGTTCAGCTATGACGGACAGGTGAGGGTGGGGCTGATCACTACACCTGGCCACATGGAACATGATCCCTATACAGTGATGCCTCGCTAGACAGTTACCCCACATGACAGATTTTTCATTAGACATTGACTTTTTGTGATTGCTATAGCAATTTGCAAAACAGTGATTCCTATGGGGGAATTTCGCTGGACAATGTTTTGTCCCTGCTTCGCAAACCGATTTTTGCTAGATGACAATTTGCTTTTTGCTAGACAATGATTTTGCTAGACAGCGATTTCAGTGGAACGGATTATCATTGTCTAGCGAGGCACCACTGTATTCTTTACCAAGCCACTGAAATCAACAAAAATTCCTTCTGAGCAATTGTGATCACATCTCCACTGTCACACAAACTGGCCCAAGTCATAGTTTATTAGTACAGTACAGTCTGAGAAACAGCAAATTGCTTTAGACAAAAAGAATCTAACAAGTCCTAGTCGCTGGAGGACCAAATGAAGACATAATCAAGCTTTGGCCCTTGTCACACAAGGCAAATGTTCCCTAGTTATACCTGTTAGATTGTTGTATAAATTTCTGGTCACACAACGCACAACTATTTTTGCATCATTTTCTCAACCAGCAGTGTGGTTTATTTCCCCTTCAGTGGGAGGGCTGTTACTTTGCTCCAGTAATGTACCAGAACATTCCTTACCCGTATTGCATGTGTGAATGTCAATCTCGCTGGGAAAAGGGAGAGCAGCGAGGACCAAGGTGCCGGCTCAAAGAAGGGCACCTGACTTGCGGGAATTGTCAGAGGAGTGGCAGCCGATACGCCTGGCCTTTGCTGGTGGCGGGCGGGAGGGAGGCATGGGTCAGGGGCTTTAATTTTTTAAAAAATATATAAAGTAAGAGGCTGCACTGCCCCAGGAGACAAGAGAGAAAATAAATCTGTTCCACAGGGTAGCCAGCCGTAATGTTTCAAACAAGAAGAAATGAACTGGCATCATTAAAAAAAATGGGACCGTTCGTCCAGGTATATATACCATATGAGCACAATTCAGTACAATAGAGGTATGGAAAGCTGTTTCAAACAGGAAGAAGTGAACTGGCAACATTTTTTAAAAATGAGACCGTTCGTCCAGGTATATATACCATATAAGCACAATTCAGTACAACAGAGGTATGGAGAGTATTGTTAGAAGTGGGGGAACATTTGCCTGGTGTGATCAGGCCCTTTGTTTTTTTAAAAAATCCTGCAAAGAGTTTTACTACAGACGTGGGAAAAGCAAATTGTTTATACAGCTTGACCTTGCATGTTAAAAACTAATTGAGATAAACTGCCTCACCTTAATCAGTTTTATGGCATACAGCACCCATGCAAATACAATATTGTTCTTGAAACCAGCTTCACAAAGTTGATAGCTCAGGAAAAAAATAGAATAACACTGGATGTTCAAAGTCACTCAAGATCTGGCATTAGCCAAACTAGTCCCACTGTGTTCACCTTGCTTTCCCTTTCAGAGTCACACAAGGTTCAGCGGCGGCGTTTGGCTCTGAAGAAAGACTTACTCAGCAACTGCCGAAACTTGAACACTGAAGGACTGCAGTGGCGAACAGACCCTTAGTTTCAAACCCACGTTTTCCACTCCAAGGATCCAATAAAGTTCCTCACTCAGTTAAGATCTTGTTCTCTTCTTCTTCCAACACCTGGATAACATGATGCTGAGAAACCACACCATTTCCTAACTGGGAGATGCAGATTTCTTAACTAGCACCGGCCTCCCCCTCCATTCACCTACGGAGGTACTACGGACCATGGAGGAAGGAGCTGAAATCTAGACCGAAGAGCAGCTCTGTCCTAGCATTGGTCTATATAATCTCACGGCATGTTTCCAGTAATGACCGCAAAGTTGTCTCCAGGAAGCCTTGAAAAACTGCATGAAGCAAGCAGCCTTTTTGCAACACTTGGCAATTATACTAAGCAGTTATCCTTAGCAGCCCTTCCAGAGTTCTCCTCCACATATCTGCCCAATCTCCATTTCAGGCCTAAAAAGCTTGTGATAGTCACCGCTCAACGTGGATTTTGGGAAGGAACAGTTGTAAAAGAACGTTTTCTTCTAGGCCCATGAAACCTGCAACCCAATCCTATGCTTGACTGGTCCTGATGTTATATATGCACAGGATGTGGCTGTTACATCCTGCACTTGATTCAGTGAGATCTTAAGCAAGTCACAAAGAGCTTGCAGTCAGAAATGGGAGGAAGGGGTGAAGGAGAGAGACAGGGCAAGAAGCCAAGACAAATTCCAGCCAGCCAACATCAGCTGTCATCCCCATGTGCCACAGCCTTAATAAATTTCTCCTGCCTTGTCCTGTGTCCTCCCTCCTCCCTCCTATCAGGACCACAAGCATGGTGGTCCTGCCTACATGGTTCAGAAAATTAAAAGATTTTTTAGTTTTGTAAGGCTCCAACACTGAGGGATGTTCTCCTTAAAATTAAAAAAAGAAGATAAACTAAGGTAAGGTAAGTATCAATCAATCAATCAAACGTACACACATAAAATGAAATGAAATAAAATAAATGAGAGTTGTATAACAGGTTACACTGGTGGGATCGTGTGCATTTCATCTTTGTTTACACACACAGCCCTATTTTGGGCCTAGCCTGTAACAGAAAAGGGCACATGTGTCCTTATCGCGTGCTCCCTTTCTAGCACTTACGTCTCTGGGAACTCTCAGCCCTGAATTGAAGGGGCTATTGTTTAAAGTGTGTTCGACAAGATAAGGTGTGAGATTACACGGCACTGCTACACGCAAAAGCAGCCAGGCAAGAGCTTTATTACACTTTGCCCTAATTGCTCTTTGACAAGAGCGTGCAAGCACCAGAAGGACTTCCCTTCTCCTCACTCACGCAAGGGCCAACCGGTCAGACCGGCTTATCAAAACTAGACCATGTTAAATAAACTCAGAGTGGAAGGCAATCAAAGGGGAGGCGTGTCGACCTGAAAAATAACAACAGTGCCACAAACCGACACTGGACGCAGTCAAGCTTCAATTATGCTTGGGTTGGAAGGTGGATCATATTATTCAGTAATCATGATAATGGAAGGAGATAGGTTTAGGCCCAGGTATTACTTCACAGCTGCCAAGGCGAAAGCAGACACAGCTCACGTAGCCTTGGCACGAACAAAGGAGAGGATAATGACACCAGGCACTTCAAAGCACCCTTCCAACCAACGGGCACATTCCTGATAAACACTTTCCACTCCGGGGTCAACACTTCTAGCTCTAGTGCCCAGCTACCCACCTTCTCTGTGTTGTCTACAAAGATAAATGCAGTGGAACACACACACCCAAACCCCACTCCCCAAAAGGCATTTACAGGACACTCTCAACATTCCCCTACCAGAGATGCTGTAGACCAGGCCAGAATACTCCTGCACCTAGCTCAGTACTTATTTTTCATGAGCTTTCATGTGTCCGAGAACATTTCTTCAGAAGCGAGAGCTTACGGAAGCTAAAAAAAAAACCCTACTCTCAAAGGTGCTACAAGTTCTGGTTTCTCTTGCCCCACAACAGACTAACACGAATGCTAGTTAGATTACTGTATGGGTAAGCCATTGCAAGGGTACTATAAAACACTTTATTGTTTCTGACCAAAGGCCTTTATTGTACAATGTACAATAAATAAAACGGGGGAAAAGATTTTTCCCCCACCCCCATTTAAAACAGGTAATTTGTACAATGTACAATAAATAAAACGGGGAAAAAGACTTCCCCCACCCCCATTTAAAACAGGTAATTACAATAACTTGTTAAGACGCTTATCATGAATTTGATCACAGTATCCTTCCGAACTGCCAGACTCGCTGCTTATACTTGCAGCTGTTGTACAACGTTATGATCCCTGACAAAACAAGAACAAGTCTAGCGGGAAGTCCCACCTTGCAGCAGTTGTACAACATTATGATCCCTGACAAAACAAGAACAAGTCTTCTTGACTGCCACAACAAATTGGGCTACTGCATTTGTGATAGATAGCTGGTGAGCAGTGAGGAAACCTCATACTACTTCCTCAGAAGTGCAGGTTGGCAAATGACTGGATGATACGTGATCTAAGATCCATATAAAAGGGACAGAACAATGATTTATATTTTCACTCTGATTACAGCCATAGACAGATATTCATTCTGAAACCAGAGTTCCTTGGTATCACCCTTCAAGGTACCCAGAGGCATCTGTTGGAATCTAAGTTCTGTAAAAGCTCTGTAAAAGAACTGTGAGCAAAGGAGTTCCTTGGTATTATCCTTCAAGATACCCAGAGGGCATCTGTTGGAATCTAAGTTCTGCAACAGCTCTACAGAACTGTGAGCAAATCTAGCTCAGTACTCCTCTGTAAAAGAACTGTGAGCAAATCTAGCTCAGTACTCTTGGCTGCTGTCAAACGCAAGAGGCCCTTCGAACCACCTGTTTCTTGAGTACAGTATTTTTAAAATATGAACAACACAGATCAATTTTACAAGCTTATGAAGCATGGGCTCTACCTCCCGTCAACTTTGACTACACATTATGTGGACAAAAAAACTCCAGCTGCAATACTGCAATGGAAGCTTGTATTTTTCTAGGGAAGATGTTCTACAGAACCAAGAGAACAAGGCCAATGCAGTGGCTGAGCGCATGAGTGGTGTGAGCCACAATGTCAATCATTCAAGCCATAAACCACAGACCATGTCCTTGTACAAATGCAAGTCTCTCACTCAGCTTCAGTTCATGCTGCAGCATCTCCTAAAAATAACAGAATTCCGCTGGTGTACCTTTCACAGCTGCTGTAAGGATTATGACAACATACACAGAGCACTTCTGAACACTCAGAAAGTGCCACATTCATGCCAAATATTTATTCACAGCTACAATTTTATATGCTGTTACTTCCCCATCTTTGAGAATGCTTTCATCCAATCTATGGAATAAATACAGTAAGTGGCTTGTGCTGAGAAAAAACAGATGTCAAACATTTAGAAGAGCGAACTCAACAAGCCTGCACTTTTAACGCCATTTCAGTAAACCGTTCTCTCTCCCGGCCCCACTGCCTCGGTTTTTTAAAAAGGGATGCTTACCAGTACAGAATTCTTTGCTTGCCTGAGGCACAGTGATTTGTCGGTACACAATGGGCTCGGATTCCAAAATATTCTCATCGTGGCGATAGCGGGCTGATTTCTCATTGGGAGTGCCCCTTGAGCGAGTGCCACTTTTCCTCTCATAGGTTTCAATCTCCTCAAACACAGCGGCCTTGTCAAAGAGGGCGAGATTCCCTTCGAAATCAAAATCCGTATCTGGGATTTCCTCAATATCATCTCCAAAACATTCGTCGTCCTTGTTCTTCATCTGTCCGTTCTTCACGCCGCTCTTCTTTGGAGTTGCCTGGTTTGGATGACGGCTACAGGAGGACCCTGAAAACACAGAGGCAAGAGACAGGTTCTAAGACACTTTGATAGGCAACATACAAACCATTACGTGGATTCCTGCACCTGGCTGCCTCAAATGTGCTCAGGCATTGCTTATGTCTTTTTGCATGATATGTGTCTGAGCCTTTTTAGTATTTGTATACTCACTCTTCTTAGCTTTTCTATTGTCTTTTAATGACATAAACTACCTTGGATCCTTTCAAGGAGAAAGGCAGAGTAAAAAACAACCAACCAATGAACCAACCAACCTGCCACTATTGTCTTTTAAGGACATAAGTCACCTTGGATCCTTTCAAGGCGAAAGGCAGAGTAAAAACCAACCAACCAATGAACCAACCAACCTGCCAAAACAACTGCCCACTTGCCCTGGCAACTTTTCCTTACTGCCCTTCTTTATGTTCAGTGCTGCAGGAGAACACCACGGGGGAAGGAGAAGGGAAACTATCAACAATGTGCAATCACACTTCAGATATATACTGTATTTAATTTCATCCTAAATTCAAAAGTTTGTACCTCGTGTAGGGCCATATTAACACAAGAGTTGAATCCTGGGGTGTGCAGTTTATCTTGCCTGCAACAACTTGTCCCAGTACTCCAAAAACATACACCAGAGAGCTAGACACCACAACGGAGGGGCCAGAAATCCTGAAACTTCCATAAGCCTCTAGATGGATTTAAGTCCAATGTAGCTCACATCCTAAGCAAGATAGCTGTTACTTGATGGGGAGCCCAATGCAGACATACTGTATTGGATCACAACTCCTCATGACCCGAATCAGCACTCAAGACAGCAGGAAGTGCTATGCACTGGAGCACAACTCACTTCATCATCAGTCTACGAAAGAAGGGAGCTGCAGTCTAACACCTCTGAGCTGGGCAGGTGGTGTCAAAGGGAGATCATATCTCAGGTGCAGTGCCTCCAAAGTTTTCTTTTCCTGAACACATGAAGCTGCCATTGGCCCATCAAGATGAAGGACTGGCACCAACTCTTCAAGGTCCCAACCTTCTAACCTATCCTGATTAAATGTATTTATGAGTGACTGGCCCTGAAACCTAGGCAGGCAAGGCCTGCAATGAACCCATTCCGACCAAGTCTTTTCAGAGCACAATTCCTCACTGATACAACCTGATGGAAAGAAGAGATTGTTTGTACCTCAGTAGCCCGTCAACCTATTTTTATTGTTGCCAAACTGTGTGATTTGGATCTTTTCAGACTCAGATCTACAAACCAGCTCTCTTCTACTTTTACAGTGATTCTGCACTCTCTCCCTCGAAAACTGAGGATGTACAAAGCACTGGGAGTGGCTAGTTTCAAAGGGGTCTCGAATCGCCAAATTGCTTGGAATGCTGGCGGAACTAAAACTGTCACTGGGTAGCAGAAACAACAATCAGAATACTTTCCACGGACTTCCAAAAGAAATGCTGAACGGAAGCCAAACCACTGCCCCCGAAAAGTTAAAAACATTGGGATTGAAGAGATCCGCTATTCAATCCACACCAATTTTTACTAGCTCTAAAATCTTGCTGACTGTTGCTTCTACTGTGAAAACTACTGCAACCAGAATGGACATTACCTGCAAAACTTGGGACCAGAAAATAAATGTCCAAGGGCAAGGGTGGGCAGAGAACAATCATGGGCTCCATGTAGAGTCAATATGGCCTCCATGCCTACACAATTCCCCCCCCCCATATCGATTTCAACTTGCCAAATGACTTCTTACTATCTTAAACACAGGTCACATGTTCGGGTATATAGCCTAATTGTGTGACCCAGAGGCCTGTGGGAAATACAATTTACATATTGGGGGCCAATATTTCCCATTGTATTTTCAGGTCTGCAATTTGTGATCTGGTCAGAGGGAGCTGTGATCCTCCAAGATCAAGGGGAGGGCAGTAATGGTTCCTGGTCATATGGAAGCTGACCACTCCTGGAGTTTTAAAACTTAAAAACAGTTGTATTTTTCTGCAGAAATGGGTTGCTTGTGGTTGGGAGCACTTCTTTGCTGATTCACAATGTTAATATGAGAAGAAGCAAATGTAATATATTTTCTAAACAGAAGGAATGTACTTTCCTGATTGGAACCTATACCATAAAGCCAGAGGATTCAAAGTAACAAAGGTACTCAGGCCAATTAATTAAACTGACTCTCTTACATCCTCTCGGGAGTCAAAGAGATGCCATTTGCCCTATAAATCCTTCATATGTCACTCAGGACATCATCTGCCATGAGATGTACAGCTTGGACTCCTTGTGACTCTGCCAAGGATAGCCTGCACATAACTGAAATAGGCTAGCCATCCAGAGTCAACAAAGCTGCACCACTTAACTCCTGCGCCTTTTGTAGGAACAAGCCTCTCCTGTGCTGTGCAAGGCAACCACCGTGCCACCAGGCGGGCGGATCTACACTCAAGATGCCAGAGTGCATGTCCTCTGCGAAGCCTTCCAGTAGCTCTTCCCTCTCTTGATCCCGTCTTAGGCTTCGAAGACACAATAAAGGCTGTAGTTAAGGTGACTCTCAATTAGAGCAAGGGTGGACAAAGCACAGTCCATGGGCCCCATGCAGCCCTTAAGGCAAAATTTGCTGTTCCTAAGCCCACAAATGAATGGGTTTCTCTCACTCCTGAATGCTTCCAGGAGCAGCAGGTTTCACATAAAACAAGTGGAAGGAGCCCCTGAAACACCGAAAATTAGAAACATCTGGATCCTTCTGGTTGGTGAGGAGCCCCGGAAACACCGAAAATTAGAAACATCTGGATTCTTCTGGTTTTGGCTTTTTTTAAAAAACACTTTCTAGTGTTTCTGAGGATAGGAAAGCCCATGGCTGCTGCTGTGGTGAAAATGTGGCCCTCCGGCTCGCCAACAATGCACACCCCTGGGAACGTAAAAGTTTACACTCTCCACGAGGCGTTTGCACTCCACCAAAGAGCCAGCCTGACTCTAGAATAGTTTGCCCTGGCGAGATGTATTGCCGTAGAGAGTCCCTTGGCCATCTGCCAGTGGACAAGGGGGCCCTCCCTTGGTAAAGGTAAACAAGGGCTCCCAGACAGAGTCAGTCATCAGTTACAACCAACAAACCGAGCACATGAAAGCTCCAGCAGGCTGGCTGCCTTCCTGCAAAATCCCTTTCAAGTCCGTGCTGCCAGCCCTAGCGTGAAAGAGTGGAGTGCCAGCCCTGCACGTAATCCATTGTTGCACGACCTACAGGGCCACTGTTTGTTTACCGATTGCTCGTGCACCAGTATTATAAAGAGCTAGCTGTCCCCCAGCCTTCAGCACGCACAGCGCAGGGCATCCAGAGGTCAGCTGAATGCACACCCAATAAAGGCCACCACTTATAACAGCAAGACTCAGTATCATTTGCCCTGGGCTCCTCTGCCACTCATGTTTTCTACAGCATCTTACAGTCCCCTTGAAATTCTTGTCTGAAAGACGCTAGACCAGAGGCCAGGATATTCATGCAGGACAGGTAGAGATCGCGAAGGAATGGCTGAACAGGACCCTGGATGGACATGTAAAAAGTGCTCCACTAAACCTTTTAAAAAAATAGTTCCCGGAAAACTCCATAATGGAACACTGCAGACAAGAAACCGGTCTGTTTCTAATAATCTATTTCTGACTTATTATGGAGAAATGATGCAGATGTGAATGAATATACTAAACTTCTTCAGACAGAGTGAGAGTACTGCTCCATCTAGTTCTGTACTCTCTCTTTGGTTTTCCCAGGTCTTGAGCAGAGGTTTTTCAGCACCAGTTACCAAAGGCCTTTTGAACTGGAATGCCAAGGAGCCAACCCAGTATCTTCTGCAGCCAAACCATCTGTTCTAGTGGTATGCTACCTATTCCCTTACTGGCATACCTCCTCCCACTGCTCCTAGTTCACACACTCACATATACGAATACAGAATGCCTCTAAGGGTCAACTGATGCATTAGATCAGGGATACCATATTTTTCCATGTATACAACCCCCCAATGTATAAGACGACCCCCTAATTTTTACCTTTGCTGGAGGGAGAGGCGGCCGAGCATGGGCTTCTTCTTCGCCTCTGTCTCAGCCTCCTCCTCCTGCCTTCCATGTATAAAACAACCCTCAATTTTCCCTCTAATTATTTTAGAAAAAAAGTCTCATTTTATAAATGGAAAAATACGGTAACTTAATTTCAGAATCACTTTAAGTGTTACGGCCCCCACATGAATGACTGCATCACGTGAAGGCTCATAGGAAGAGCAAAAACTTTGACCCACCCTCCACATCATTGCTTCATAGCTTTTACTGATATAACAAGCAGTTTTCAGACCTGCTTTGCATAGTGGTTAAGTTACTGCACTGAAAGAACGTAAGTACAATACTTGTGCCTTGATAATCTAAATTTATAGACTATGCATGTTATCCCATCTGAATTTTTTGTGCATGCAATGGCCAGCTGCTCATATGGTTGTCCCTTTTTTGGTGCTTCTGCAAGGAGGTACCCACGAACCCCTTGCACGAGTAGAAAACCCTTGAACATGGATACATCCAGCGGGTGTAACCAAAAGCAGGAAAATTGAGAAGCAAATGCAGAGTGCTCCGACTGTGGAGCTGTTATGCTCTGCATTTCCAAATAGGATTCTGACCTATACCTGTTAACCTTTTCTTACTAGGTTGGTAGACAGTAAGAACTGAACGACACAATTTTAGAAGGAAAGCATGGACAGTTAAAGTAAGCGTTTTGAATTCTAAGCAGCAGGCAGAAATTGCAAAGAAAATTAGAGTAGCAAACTTCGGTTTGTGCAGCTTGGCTGAGGTATACAGGAAGATAATACAGCCATGAAAGTCAAATAAATGATAGCTATTATTCATAACGACTAACTGCAATTGAACAATATTCAGAACACTGAGCAGCAAACAAAAGGAACAGAAATTCCTAAGTGAAACAGAAAACAGAAAAAGACGTTTTTTAAATGCTAAAAGCCAATCAAAGAGCTGAATACATTATTCTGGTGAGGTTAGTGCCTCTATTGCAAGTCCTTACATGAAAACCTGAACCATTGATACTGCCCTGTTTCCCCAAAGATAAGACCTAACCTGCCCAAGGCACGAGACTTCGTACCATCCCGGACAGATGGCTGTCCAATCTTTTCTTGAAAACCTCCAGTGATGGGGCACCCACAACATCAGGAGGCAAGTTGTCTGGCATTTGTCACATAAACCACTGCAGATCAAGAACTCTTGAAAGCAAAAATAAATTAAACATGAATGCCTGCCTATAAGGAAAGTGTGAGGGAGCCTTTTACAATTAATCCTACAACATCACAGAAGCTCCCGCAAACCTGCTTGGAGGATCCTGAGAATATCTGCAAAGTAGTAGGTCTGGCTTCATATCGAACAATTCATTGATAGGATTGGAAGGGACCTTGGAGGTCTTCTAGTCCAGCTCCCTGCCCAAGGCACGAGACTTCGTACCATCCCGGACAGATGGCTGTCCAATCTTTTCTTGAAAACCTCCAGTGATGGGGCACCCACAACATCAGGAGGCAAGTTGTTCCACTGCTTCATGGTTCTCACCATCAGGAAATTCCTCCTTATTTCCAGGTGGTTATCTCCCTCTGACAAGTTTCCACCCATTGCTTCTTGTCCTACCCTCAGGCACAATGGAGAATAGATCAATGCCCTCTTCCCTGTAGCAACCCTTCAGATATTGGAATACTGCCATCATGGCTCCCCTAAAGTCTTTTCCTCATTATGCTAAACATACCTATTTACAGTAGTCATTCTTCATAGGATTTAGCCTCCAGCCCCCTTATCATCTTTGTTGCTCTTCTCTGCCTCAGTATCTTTTTTTGTATTGTGTTCACCAAAACTGAACACAGCAGTCCAAGTGTGGCCTCACCAGAGCAGTATAGACTCAGTATCTTTTTTGTATTGTGTTCACCAAAACTGGACACAGCAGTCCAAGTGTGCCTCACCAGCACAGTATAGTGGTACAACCACTATGATCTTGATGCTATCCCCCTGTTGATGCAGCCTAGGACTGTGTTGGCCTTCTTGGCAGCTGCAGCACACTGCTGAGTCATCCTTAGGTGGTGGGCCACCAGGACACCTAAATCCCTCTCACAGGTACCAATGTTCAGCCAGGTACCACCTATCACGTACCTGTGCATCTGGTTTCTCCTGCCTAAGTGCAGGACCTTATTTTTTCCGCCACTGAAATGAATCTTATTCAATAGGGCCCAATGTTCAAATCTGTCTAGATCTTTCTGAATTTTCCAAAGTATTAGCAGTCCCCCCCCAGCTTTATGTCATCAGCAAATGTGAGAAGGGCTCCTTCAGTCCCCTCATCCAGAGAACAGCAGAGACCTGTGAAGGTCAGTGGGCTGTGAGTGAGCCATCTCCTCCTGATGGAAAGGACACTAAAGAGAAAAGGGAAATGAACCAAGAAAGGAAAAGGAACAGGAAAGGGTTAAGATTGAGGTTTGTTTGCCTGAGGAGGGAAAGGATAAAGGGGAGGAATAGTGGGTAGACATGTGGGAGGAGGAGATAAAAGAAGGGACCGGTGTGTGGGATTTTCAAGTGGCTGCAGATGTTAGACAGAGATCAAAGGAAGAGGAGACGTCTAAAGAAATAAAGGACTTGCTGAAGGACTTTTCGAACCTGAAGGTCGGAGGGCTACTCCAAGCCCCTGTGTCTAGTGGTGAGGGGATCACCATCAAAGAGACTACGGAATGGACAGTGGTGGTGTTCCGGAGGGGACGCGGTCCCTGGAGGAAGGCGGTGTGTCCAGATCCTACCTTCAACAAACCACCAGCCAAGGGGGATTGGGCCCGCCATCCCTGCTGCGGTACCATATGCGCAGTGAGAATTGGGCCCATCCCTGCTGCGGTACCATATGCGCGGTGAGGAGCGCACCTCTGAGGAAGCCAACCGACAAGGAGAGGTTTGGACCGGCTCCCCAGTATTGAAAAGAGACCATGCTGTTGACCCGTTTGGTAGAGTAGAAAGGAAGTTAAGTAATTGGGACTCGTTTATGCCAACTGAAGTAATCATAGATACACCGATGTTAGAATTAAATAAAAACCGTTATGTTACAGATAACCAAACTCCTCCAGTTTCTGTGTATGCTTCAGAACCGCCTAAAACTCCTTACGAACCTTATGACAAGACCCTAATCTTTCTTTTGTTACTGGGACTGCCTCAACAAATCACACCCTTTAAAGACTCACAACAAGACTTCTTATAACCATGCACATGAAGCATGGGGGTATAAGAATCAGCCACCAAAAAGGAAGCTGTGTTAGTCCTGTCAAGCACTGCTTCCTTTTCCAATCCCAGCCCATGGGTGTTCATCTCCATCCTCCTCCTCTCTGGACTTCTTGAGACATGGGGGGGGGAAGGAGATGGTAGAAAGACACAATGTATAAAATAAGTTTTTTTTTAATTTCAGCTCTCCACTCACTTTTGGAAGGTAGGAGGGAAGCTAAGACTTGTAAAGTGCAAAACCAAAGTCGCCCATCTTACTTGAGTAGATTAGACAGAAAGGACGAACTGAATGGCACAAGCCACAGACAGTGTTCTCTTATTAGTGGCCCTGCCTCATGTGTCCGGCTACTTGTGCATGTCTTTGGAAGCTGTTAAGAGAAATCAAGTAGACTATGATGGCAAGAACATTAACTTTTGCCTATGTGCTCCGGTATACCAAACCCGTGCTATTCCTGCAAGAACACAAGCGCAATTCCTCCTGAACACATCAACACATTCTTCTGAACTGAAAGGAGCTTGTCCTCTGAAAATGTGACCAGCCTGAAGGAGATTGCAGAGACGTCAACTTGAGAGCCCACTCTTCAGTATCTGTAGACTGTTTTGAAGTTCAACCTTCACACCCTCTCATGTTGAACAGTACTAGAAGATGGCAGCTCAAAGGTCCAGTTCAAGAGCTTCTAGAGGGGGCCATGGGCAAAACAGGTGGAACAATTCTAGCAGCATAGCATAATCAGAACCACCTTGCCAACACCGTTTGATCACTGAGGTAAAAAGAAAGAACAATGCTGTCTGGCCACAGTATACTCACATGAGTTGTGCCTCCGACGGAAGCCTTTGGACTGATTCAAGGATTCCATGTGCCGATCCATGTAGCTTTTGGAGCACTGATATTGTTGGGGAGAAATGGCAACATCTTGACACTTCACATCTGTTCTCTTTGGGATATTCTGGGGAGCACTGCTAGGTTTCTTCAGCAATTTGCCAGTACCATTCTGGTTGGTACCCCCTGAGCATCCAATACTAGGAATGCCAAGGTCATTAGGCTGAAAGTCTCCACATGGTCCATTATTACCTGGGCCTGGAATTTCCAGGATCTTCAGTTCAGTTATATCACCAGCCCTAAACAAAGGAAAAGGTCCAAACAAGGTGTGAATCTTAAGTCAGGCCTTTCCCAGTACAGAAATGTAAGGCCTTTGTAGCTGGCATTTAGCTGATCAGAAAATTGTATTTGTTCCCTTACCAGCAACAACCTTCCCTTCAGTTATACAGCTGGAAAACACTACAAACCTCAATAACAAGCTCTCAGAGTTAGCCTAAGTTAACAAAAATGGGCCAAAACCCATCTTTTCAAGTGATGGCACTACATCTCGTTAGGCACAAACAGATCACCAAACTACAAATCAAATATTTTCCTCTGCATATTGAAAATAAAACAAACCAGGAGGAGAGGTTATCTAGGGGCACTTTATTGAGAATTAGCCAGTTTTAGGTACTCTCATCATAACCCAGTAGAACTACTTAAATGTTTGGAAGAGAGCAAAAGTTGAAGGATGAAGGGAAGACTATATTAAAAAAGCCCTGGTAGTCTCTCACCTAACATTCAGTCTCCCACAGGTGACAACTAGAGGATCAAAATCTCTGGAAATGAAGGCTACAATCCTCTGGCTATGGATCCCAGCAAATGGTGTTTAATGATATATTGCCTCTAGAGTTTTTCCATCTAACATTTCAGAACCGTTCGCTGTATTTATCATGAAAACACAAGCTCCTTCAGAAGTAGCTCAATATTCAGCCATACCAATGCCAACATGAGGGAAAAAATCTGAATAAGTACAGAAACAAAATGAATATGTGTATCCAGAGATTAAAAACTACTCTAATATTTCATGGCAATGTAATACCTCTGTACTTCTTCAATTTTAATTTCACTCTATAAGACTACAGAATTAAGCTTCCAAACCAAAGTTATACAGCCCATGAAATTACTAAGAGCTGTGCACCTTGGAGGACTCTGCAAATTCCATACCAGTATTCCAATTTGCTTTGTTCCAAGCCCTGAAACAGCATTTTCTTTGTCTGTTCTGCTCATGCAAAAAGGTCTTCTGCATGAATTGTTGGATTTTTTTTCTGGGTTTGCATAAGGAGAGTATTATAGGAGTCCAGAAAAGGAGCTGAAAACATGGCTTACTAGCCAATTTATCATTTACTGTTTTTTTTCAGAATCTGTTGAATTCCTGTGGGTTTTTTAAAAAGTCTCCACAAAATAAACTCGCAAAAAAAGCTCAAATACAATGTACAATAAGGCAGAGATGCAACAACATTGAAATTTAGTACAGTACTACTGCTCAAATAGGTCAGCCTATTTATTCAAAACCTTCAAGCAACAGTTCCATTAAAAAAACATTTACATACAGATCTGTCACCAAAGTTCTGGAAATGAAATACACAATTATGAACTACAAACAGGTTCCCTCTAAGCTCTCCCTGCAACTGACTTCACCCTCTGCACAGTGATCGCGTTAGGTTCCAGTCACAATGGAACCCTGCGTGTGTGTGGGGGGGGAGAGAGTTGCACGCATACAAGAGCAAAATCACTTGCGAGTGAGGTGGAGCCCTGCCCAGCGAAGCTGAAAGTTAAAGAGTACATTGACTACAAATATGAAATATCAATACCTGCCCTGGCCCCAAGTTAAATGTTGGCCTGTAAAGGTGAAGAATTAACAGTCAAAAGTCTAAAGAAAGCAGTCAGAAGATACATTTACCTGAAGGTGACCTCAGGTACCAAACATTTGACTCCATTATGAAAAGGCCGCGTTAAGGAGATTGTCTGGCTGACTTGATCCACAGCAGATACTCTTCCTTGATAGACTCCTAGGCTGTTCCCACAGTTGATTGAGACAATACTTCCAAGCCAATCTGTGGCCATATTTTCCTTGATCTCTGCAAAATGAAGGGGGATACATGAGGTCAACCTTCTTGTATCATATCACCCTCTCAATGACTCAGTTCTCACATCCACTTCCAATACACCAAACCCCTGCTGCCATACAGCTGTAGTGATTTCAGCTGCAAAGGCATGGAATGTTTCTAAGCACAAGCCAAAACATCTGTCCTCTTTAATCATTCAGTTTTCATTTTTGTTACCCACTGATCTTTTTTGAATGCGGGACAGATTATTGTGGCTGCATCAGTTTAGAAGGTCATTTTAAACAAGGCGGTTGTAAGACACGTACCATGTTTCCGCCAAAATAAGACAGGATCTTATATTAATTTTTGCTCTAGAAACACATTAGAGCTTATTTTCAGGGGATGTTTTATTTTATTTTTTCATGTACAACAATCTACATTTATTCAAATGCAGTCATCTCATCCTCTTCTGGTTACTGCACCATGCTGGAGGGTGGGCTTTCACTTAACTAGGGCTTAATTTGGGGGTAGGGCTTATATTACGAGCATCCTGAAAAATCATATTGGGGCTTATTCTGAGGTTAGGTCTTATTTTGGGGAAAACAGGGTAGTTGAATCACTGGGAGAATCCCAGGTCTCAGACACTTAATATTAATGTGAAACACTGCTTGCTGGTTAGCGCAGTTTTCTTTCTATTTCAAAAGTATACATTCAAAATGTTCTTTTTCAACTGTTTGTTGTAGTTTTCATCAGCCCTAATCATCTTTTAATGTACAGGACTACAGAAGAAAATGAAACATGCTCATTTATTCATATACATGCTCAATAATTCAAATCATTATTGTTGCTACAGACAATAAATTATATAAATCCTCAAAGAAGCAAATAACACTATAGGCTTTTCCATCCCTGCTGTGTCCAGGAACCTATGCACCTCATCTTCATACACATGTGATCAGTCACAAGTATTATTTTGACTGAAAACAATGCTCCAAATCTCTGAGCTGAACAAAATTGTTACCAAAAATAACAAGGAGTCTTGTAGCAGCTTAAACACTAACACACCTTATCTGACATACGCTTTTGTGGGTCCAGGTCTTCAGATACAGAAAACTGTTAGGACAGGATTGCCGCCCACCTACAAAGGCCTATGCTAAATAAAACATAAAACTTTCAAATGCCGTAAGATTCCTGGCTGCTTTTGCTGCAGCAGAGAGAGAGAGAGAGAGACACAGCCTCCCTCTTGGAAATTACCAGCAAAGACTGCGCTAGAAAGCAGTGCAGCTATTATTACTTATTTTATTGTTTTATTTATTGGCTGCCTTCCTCTTGGCAAAAGGGACCTAAGGCAGCTCACAACGTTAAAAAGAACAGAATTAAAACCGTAATAAGCTAAACATTAAAAAAACCCCACACAATTAAACTATATCCTAATTAAAATACAATTGATTAATTAAAAGCAAGTAAACATTAAAAAACTGTTTTTATTATTGTAAAGTTTGTAAACTCCTCGCAGGCAGGGACTCTTAATTTTTTTTAACTGATTGATTTTTTTTCTGCCTAGTTAGATCCGTGAGGCTCTCTGTAAAATAGTAACAACACAATTAGTATTAAAAGCCGGGGGGGGGGGGAGGGGGGGATACTTTAAGAGAAGAGCCTTTTTGGGGGGGGGGAGGGGAAGCGCAGCTTCCTTCACGTCCCGCTTCTTTCCCCTCAAGGCCTCCCACGACCACCTACCCCCGCCAACCGACACACCCACCCCGGGTTGCCGGTAGCCCTCCTTCTGCCACAACCACACCTGGCCTGGGAGGGGGGGCGGCAGGTAAGCAGAAAAGTTGTCCGTTTGTCTTGGTCCCACACTCCGCTTCCCCTCAAACCTTCCTTACGCTCCGGAAGCGCCTTGACACGCTGACGGTGGCTTGACGTCACTTCCGCCTCGCCCTCCCTAGGCTTTCTGGCGGGCATAGGAAGGCGCGCATGCGCCCACAGGGGGGCAGAGGATTGTGCGAGCGCTTCTGTAGAGAGAAACCTTCTTCTCTGCTCTCGGACTCTCTATGGTACTTGTGTTGGTTGGGGGGAGTTCTCGTCTCAGGAGAGAGAGGAATGGTGTTAGGGACTACAGTTCCCAGAATTCCTGGCCCACCCAGATGGGACTATTGGGAGTTATAGGCAAAAAATGCATCTGGAGAGGAAAAGGATTCTCACACCTTAGTGCGAAGAATTTGGACTACAAATCTCATAAACCCCATTTATAGTGGCCAAGGATTATGACTATTTTACACCAAACAGTAGACCGTTTTCTTTTTTTAAAAAACATGTTTTATAGGCATTTCCTACAGAGATCATAGGAGGAAAAGATTTTTCTTCCTTGCACGTCTGTTTCCAAAAAAAGCAAGAAAAGTTTGTAGGGCTATATGCCGCTAAATTGAGGTTGTCGCTGTTATGTGCTGTCAAGTCGCCTCCGATTTGTGGTGCCCCAATGAATGAGCCATCTCCAAAACGCCCTGTCCTCAGCTGCCCTGCTCAGCTCTTGCAGACTCAAGCCTGTGGTTTCTTTAGGCAAGTCAGTCCATCTCATATTTGGTCGTCCTCTTTTTCTGCTGCCTTCCACCTTCCCCAGCATTGTTATATTTTCCATAAAACCCTGCCTTCTCATGATGTGTCCAAAGTAAGACAGCTTCACCTTCAACATTTTTTGTCTCCAGAGGTAGTTCAGGCATAATTTGATCTAGGACCCACTTATTCATCTTTCTGGCAGTCCAGGGTATCCAGAAAGCTCCCTTCCAACACCATATTTCAAACAAATCTACTTTTCCTGTCAGTTTTCTTCACCACCCTGCTTTCACACCAATACATGGTGATTGGAAATCCAGGAGCGCAGATGAGATCGGTCTCGTGTCTCCAGAGGTAATTCAGGCATAATTTGATCTAGGACCCACTTATTCATCTTTCTGGCAGTCCAGGGTATCCAGAAAGCTCCCTTCCAACACCATATTTCAAACAAATCTACTTTTCCTGTCAGTTTTCTTCACCACCCTGCTTTCACACCAATACATGGTGATTGGAAATCCAGGAGCGCAGATGAGATCGGTCTCGGTCTCCATTGACAGATGCTTACACAGGATTATAATTTTAATTCCTTCATTGCTGCCTCTTCTAGTCTCAGTCTTCTGATTTATTGATTACAGTCTCCATTTGGATTGATCCAAGTGTACAAAGTTAGCAAATTTCTGTCACTTGTGTGAGGCAAGCTCAAAAGCCAGGGTGTACTCAACAGTAGTAGAATCCTGAGTAGATTGGTCCTCCTTGGATTGAATATGGGTCAGGTGATATTTTTGTACGGTAGTCCCATATAAAGGAAGGAAAACCTGAGTGAAAAATGAACTACATGCTAAATAGATATGTGATCAGAGAGGCAGAGTTCCATTCCCTACTGTATCTCCCAAGAGAACAGCCAGCCTCTGTAGCTTTGGACAAGCTGCAGAGTCCCCAGTTGCTAGCCAGTTCTTCATCATCTGCACATCTGGTAAGCATTCTCTGCACCCTGACATCCAAGTCATTACTAAAAAATCAGGAAAAAGCCACATTGTCCCCAAAAGTATACAAATGCAGCAACAGGTTATACCTTTATTGGACCATTACATTTTTTAAAAAATACACACACAAAATTACGAGCTTTCAATGATAATTCATCCCCCTCAAGTTGTGCACCAAGGTTCTTATGGGTAAATCCAAAATTATTATAGTCCCAAAGTTTCATGGCTGTTTTCAGGGGTCAAGTGTACTGTCTTAGATGAAAATAGCTGTAGTCTACAGTCTGCAAAAGGCTGTGGGGGGGAGGATGTAGTTTGGGATTTGTTTGACAAATCTGTGTTGGCTCGCAAAAGGCTGTGGGGGGAAGGATGTAGTTTCAGTCCACTCAGCAGTCAGTGGTTTGGAATTAATCACCCATTTCTCTAAACAAAAAGTGGCCAAGTATTCTGACCCCCCCCCTCCTCACGGCCCAGAACTGAACTTTGTGGTACTTCTTACCTCCTAGTTTGAGGAGGAGTCCTTAATAAAGTACTCTTTGAGTACAATTCTGTACCCAACTGTGCATTCACCTGACAGTTGTTATATCCAGCCCACACCTAGTTAGCTTGCTAATCAGAATATCATGGGGCAGTTTGTCAAAAGCTTTGCTGAACTCCAGATATACTACATCTACAGCATTCCCACCATCTACTAGGGAGGTTATCTTATTTTAAAAAAGAGAGAGATAAGATTAGTTTGGTGGGATTTGTTTGACAAATCTGTGTTGGCTTCTTGTTATTACTGCATTGTTTTCAAGGTATTTGCAGAGTGACCATTTTATAATCTGCTCCTGAATTTTTCTAGGGATTGATGTCAGGCTAACTGATCTGCAGTTCCCTGGTTCCTCTTTTTTGCTCTCTTTGACAACATTAGTAAAGGTAAAGGTTCCCCTTGACATTTAATCCAGTCGTGTCCGACTCTAGGACATGGTGCTCATCCCCGTTTCCAAGCCGTAGAGCCAGCGTTTGTCCCTAGACAGGTGTCGTGGTCACATGGCCAGCGTGACTAGATATGGAACGCCATGACCTTCCCACTGTGGTGGTACCTATACTGTATTTATTGATTTGCATTTTTACATGCTTTCAAACTGCTAGGTTCGAGCTTGGACAAGCGACGAGAGCTCACTCCGTCGTGTGGATTCAATCTTATGATGGCTGGCCTTTCGACCTTGCAGCAGAGAGGCTTCTGCAGTTTAACCCACAGTATCACCATGTCCCTTTGACAACATTAGCCCTCCTCTATGAGGGCTAATGTTGTCAAAGGGATGTAATCATCATGTACTTCATGATTTTGGGAAAATAATGAACAGTGGTTCTGAGATCTCTTCAACCAGTTCCTTCAATATTCTTGGATGGAGTTCATTGTGTCCTAAAGATCTGAACTTGTTCAAAGTAATAAGGTAAGATACAAAGAACTTTTTAAAGCATCCCTAACCAAATACAAAGGCTTTGTTTCTTCCCTTTTCAGATGCTTTATCCGGACTGGCAGAAACTCTCCAAGGTCGGAAAGAGAGTTTTTTTTGGTTGCAGCCTGAAAATACCAGGAATTAAACCTCTCATCTTTGCAGCAAAGCAACACATGAGCAACAAAAGATTTTTGGTCTCTCCATCTGGAAGCTTGATTCAGCCCTCAGTTCCTGCCTCCTGTCCCCACAGCTGGCACAAATCCTTTGGTAGCTTGCCTCTTAGCCTGGTTATTATGAATATTGTACAGACTTTGTTTTGACCAAATATTTTCCCTAATAAACAATAAAGTTGTTGTAGGTTTTTCAGGCTGTTTGGCCATGTTCTGAAGGTTTTTCTTCCTAACATTTTGCCAGTCTCTGTGGCCAGCATCTTCAGAGGACAGGAGTCAGAACTCTGTCTGAGGACTCCTGTCCTCTGAAGATGCCAGCCACAGAGACTGGTGAAACGTTAGGAAGAAAAACCTTCAGAGCACGGCCAAACAGCCTGAAAAACCAACAACAGCCATCGGATCCCGGCCATGAAAGTCTTTGAGAATAAACAATAAAGTGTTTGTGACCTGAGAGTAGAATCTCAACGTACAGTTGCTCAGTGGGGAAAAAGGGGTGGTTTCAAACAGCAAGATGGTTATTTTTAAAAGTAGTTTGTTATGATTCAAAGCTGCCTAGGAGATTGTTACTGTAAGTGACAGTGATTCTTCTTAAAAGCAACTTGAGGAACACTTTTCTTGGAAACAATTCTAAGAGATACCTTTCAGTTACTAAAAACAACTGAGTGCTACAAGCCAATGACATGTACAAAATCCTTTGCCTGCTCACAAGCCAGTACTTGAGTGATGGGTTATTTTTCCTCCATCAGTTAGTGTGGTCACCCATCTGTAACTGTAGCGGTAACTTAAAAGTTACACCCATAAAAAATAAAGGATTTCTGAGAGTTGAAGTCCAGATTTCTTGGACTTCAACTCTCAGAAATCCTGGCCAGCAGAGGTGGTGGTGAAGGCTTTTGGGAGTTGTAGTCCAATAACATCTTGAGGCCCAAGGTTGCGGACCACTCCTTTAGAGGCACTGTGGTGTAGTCCAGTGGTTCTCAGCCCTGGGTAACCCAGATGTTCATAGACTGCAACTCCCAGAAGCCTTCACCACTAGCTGTGCTGGTCTGAAGTTCTGGGAGTTGCAGTCCAAGGACACCTGGGTTACCCAAGGTTGGGAACCACCGGTGTAGTGAGTAGTGTGGTGAGTAGGGATTTGAACTCAGAAGGCCTGGAAACGGGGTTTATGTGTAGCAAAGGTACATATAAAGAAAATGGTTCAAAGAGAACAAAAAGTTTTCCAATCAACATTTCGCTTGAGGAACAAATCAAACAGGAGAGTTGGCATTATGTAGGAATGGGAAATCTGTCCTCTCCAAATGTTTCTGCACTACGGCTCATGAAATCCCTAACCCTTATCCATGGTTGGTGCAGCTGGTGAGAGACAGAGTCCCCAACATGAGCTACAGAGCCACAGGCTCCCCATCCTGATATAGAGGCTGTGTAGAAGAGTTTGAGACATAAGGGTTGGTCAGGGGAGACGGATGGATTCTCCTACTTTTAGCATGTATACATATGAATGGGATCACCACGTTCACATTTACTAATACTTCTGCATCTTCTTTTGGAAAACCCATGTCTCCCTTTCCAATATCCTGCTTAAAATTAGAAGCAGGCTTCATTCCACATAGTTCCATTTAGTAAATATAAGTGGGGTTTTAAAAAAAGACCCAGCTGCAATCTCAAATGCACCAGTTCAGTGTTCTAGGTGTACCGATGCTCAATACAGTCCACTTCAGCCTTTGCCCAAAGGGTTTTGGGGAGTCCGCATTCTGGGGCTGAACAGGCTGATTCGTTGTTCATTTGTCTTTAGGAGGCAAGCAAGCAAGTGAGGAGGGAGGGAGGGAGGGAGGGAGGGAGGAAGGAAGGAAAGAAGGAAAGAAAGAAAGAAAGAAAGAAAGAAAGAAAGAAAGAAAGCAGACAGCCGTGGTTTTTATGTTCATATTTGCAGTGTGCTTTTCACTCCGGTCCAGATCTGAGTGGCAGTGTGAAAAAAGATAAATAGATAATGCCTTTTATATTGCCCTTTAGCAATAAGAGCCGGTGATGAGAAGGTCAGTTTAATGAAGATGGGTTCTGCTGAGGGTGCCTTTCCTTACCAAGGGTAAGGGGGCTCTCAGGCCTGAAGCCACCACTGAATCCCCTCCACACCCCTTCTTTTCAGGAAAGTGTTAAAAACAGAGCTATTCAAAGCTGCCTTTAACAACTGAGTCTTCTCGCTATTGGAAACTGAAAAGGTATTTCCCTATTGGAACGCATTAACCGGTTTTCATGCATTCCAATGGTTTTTTTTCACATGACAATGATTTTGCTGTACAGCAATTTTGACAGAACGGATTATCGTCGTCATGCGGGGCACCACTGTACTGTCAAGTCAAGGTCTCACTCCTTCCCCAGAGACTTTTACTTGTAGAAGACTGGAAGTTAGGAATGACTGACATTTCCTCTTTTGAGATTTTCACTAATGTGGAAACCCAGATAATCTGTTGCAGCTTTAAAAGTAATTTTCTTCTGAATATCCCTTATATTTTCTTGACCCACTCAAGGCAGAAACAATCACATATCAAGCAAACTAATATATTCTTCTTTATTTAGAAGACTGATGTAATTAGAGAAAAAATATTAAAAATATCAGTGAAGGCAGTAAAAGTTGCTGGTAATTATTTGAATCACAATCATCTTAAAAAGAGTTCCTAGTGTCCAAAGCATAGGCATTTAGCAAAATGTGCAGGAAATCTCTTTGAACCCAAAGGGGCCACATCCAGTTCAGAGATGCTGTCGAGGACCACATTCCTAGGAAGGGTGTGGCTGAAGGCAAAAGGGAGGGGACCCCAAAAGTCAGTGTATTTCACTTAAAGTTGTTAGTAACTAAGCCCTAAGAAGTTAAGTCTTTTAGAAGGAAGGAACACAATATAAAGGTGCCACGAGGAGGAGAGGGACCATCTGTTGACATCCAGAGAGCCGGTGTAGATACTCAAGGGCCATATTCAGCCCAGAATCTGAATGGCCCACTCCATATTTACAGGAAAGTTCATACCCTCAAGAGTTGCCTCTGTGCCAGACAAGCTCCGTCCGTTTATTGTAGAACTAGAGTTGCACACCGTGCAATTAGAACAATTTTTCTGTGGTATGTCCATCAGACAGTTTTTCCAGTTTCGGGAAAGCAAGTGACTTTGGGTGTCATAACAATGCATCATCCTACCACCCATCTGATATCGGTCCGCCACTTTTCTTAACACCACTTAAGCCATGTCTGTATTTTGCCAGCAGTATTCTGTTGGAGGCGGTCCCGTTCCTCCGTCCCCAGTCCTGTCTGCCCACCACACTTCAACGGAGCTTAATCTGAAAATCCTCGCACCTCTTGTGTTTCATGGTGAGTCCATACTCTGGGGTGATGTCCAGCATCTCTCTGCGGCAGACACTGAATTCCAGCTTCTGGAGCAAGGTGGTTAAGAACAGGAATATCTCTCCTCGGCCGATATTCTCTCCAATGCACCTCCTTTTGCCCAAACCAAACAGCAGAACCTTCTCGCTCTCCACTCTGTTTATCCCACTTCCGTCAGCAGCCAGAAAACGTTCCGGGTTGAAACTAGATGGATTGTCCCAAAGTTTCCTGGAAAAAAGCACCCTTGTAAGTTATGGCATCACATCAAATGGGCAGAAAGTAGGAGAAAGCAATGGTCTGGATTTCCCGCCTGGGAATATCTGAATATTCAGAACTCATCGGCGACACCCTTTGCCTTCCAGAATCAAAAACTATTAGGACAAAAGAGCTTCCGCGTGGATATTTTTGTTCTATCTATTAAAAAAACTTGTTCAACTATTCTGTCTTTCCCTCATCTTGGAGAGATTATATCTGGTGAGGAATAGAATGTGGGGAGTAAAAATTATGATCAGAAAGCAGCATTATCTACAGTAGGCTTCTTGTAAAATTGTGCAAACAAGGCAAAATGATGATGCATCAAAAGCATCCTCAGCTCAACAGAGATTTTGACTTACTATGTGCCCAGGTAATCTTGTCCATGGAAAGGTGAAATAACTGGGCCTTGGTGTAACTAATTATAACTAGTCACCTTTTAATTAATTCCTTTCACCAATAACAAAGGTATAAGGACACTTAATATAATGAGAAACACCCTCTCTTTTTGTGATGTACAGTGGTACCTCGCTAGACTATGACATCGCAAAACAACGAATCTGCATAACAATGAGGTTTTGCAATTGCTATAGCGATTCACAAAACAGTGATTCCAATGGGCGATTTTTGCTGGACAATATTTGGTCCATGCTTTGCGGACCATTTTTTCGCAAGACGACGATTTTTACAGCTGATCGGCGGCTTTGCAAAATGCCTTCCCTATGTTTTCGGGACCCATGCTTTGCAGGACAGCCATTTTAACAGCTGATCGGTGTTTCACAAAATGGCTGCCTTATGGGCGATTTTCACAAAATGACGATGATTTTTCCCCATTGGAACGCATTAAATGGGTTTAAATGCATTCCAATGGGGAAACGGTTTTCGCAAGACGATTATTTTGCTAAACAGTGATTTCAATAGGACAGACTATCGTCATCATGTGGGGCACCACTGTAAATGTAGTGTTTAATTATGTTGAAGATTATGGCCAAGTGGCCTCACTTTCCTAAGGCAACTTCCCAGGCTCTGGAAGTGCCAACAAAGCTTTTGTGAGCCAACTTGTAATGTTGACTTTTAAGATACTTACGGATCATGGTTGACTTGCCACTGGTTCACAAACACACAGGTATCCCGTGGGATAGCATAGCCATTCAACACTGTGTCCTTAGTTGTGCTACAAGAAGAAATACACACAATCTTGGTGCACAGAAGGAGCTGGAAGCTGCTAGTTCATGTTTCATAGAATCAACATGGGATGAAAGTAGGGGTGTGGAGGGGGGAAATGGTGTTGGCTATAATCCTAGGTGACCCTACCAAGAAACTAGTAATTTGGATGAGATAGGCTTCTAAATAAAAGCAAGTTTGGAAATGGAATTCAAACAAAAAGCTAGAAAATCAATCAGTTGGCGAGCGCATATGACCTATGAGCTGTTACTCTAAATTTCAGTCCTGTACGTTTCTACTTGGTATTCTGTTGAATTTAAGGGACCTCAGGCCATGGATCATACTGGCTAGGAGAAATCAGGACACTATTGAATACGGAAAAGGAAAAGAAGAAAATCGATCCATTGAGCTCAGTGTCTTCTACACTGACTGGAGACAGCTGTCCAAGATTTTGCACCAAAGTCTTTTCCAGCTGCCTCTGGCATCTTTCATGTGGACACCATGTACTCTAGCACAATGACATAGTGTCCTCAGCAGAATCTAGCCATACAACGTGATGCACGAATTCCCATTAAGTCCTGCAGAACTTTTCCCCTGGTTGAAGTGTGGACGTGTGATCTCCACCTCAGACAATTATCACAGCACCCAATAAACTACAGTTCCCAGAAGACTTCCGCCTTCTTTATATAACAATACAATTAAATGGATGAGGACATTCCAGATGTTGCTAGACTGTAGATCCCATCATTCCTAGCCAACATAGCCCCAAGAATGAGCTAGCCAGTCACTAAGGGAAAGGTCTTTGCCTGCTTGGACAGTAGAGAGTGGTCCAACCTGGTCTCCTGTGGGAGGGAGTTCCAAAGTCTGAGACCAGCAACAAGGAAGGCTCTCTCCTGTGTCCCCATCAGATGTACCTGTGAAAGTGGTGGGACTGAGAGAAAGGCCCCTCCAGATGATCTTAACACTCGAGCTGGATCATAAAGGGAGATGTGGTCCTTGTGATAGCTTGGCCATTTAGGGCTTTCTAGGTTAGAAGTAGCCCTTTGAATTGTGCCCGGAAACTGATCGGCAGCCGGTGGAGCTGTTGTAACGGGGGGGTGGGGGTGGGTAGGTTATGTGATCCCTGTAACCAGCCCCAGTTAACAATCTGGCTGCAGAAGTTTGAACCCACTGGAGTTTTGTGACACTTTCCATAAGCAGCCCCACGTAGAGTGTGTTACACTAATCCAGCCGGGACAAGCGAAGTCTCATGGCAGTTCCACACCCACTGGTAACATCCTGCATTGATTACTGCAATGCGTTCTACATGAGGCTGCCTTTGAAGATGGTCCGGCGACTCCAACTGGTCCAGAATCAAGCTGCACAGCTGGTGAGTGGTGCGGGCACTAGAGAACACATCAAGCCGATTCTGTTCAAGTTACATTGGCTACCACTTGCTGCCCGGGGCCCAATTCAAAGTGCTTGTTTTGATGTATAAAGCCCTAAACGGCTTGGGCCCTGGATACCTGAAGGACCGCCTCCTTCCATATGAACCTACCCGGCAGTTAAGATCTAACCAGGGGGCCCTTTTGAAAGAGCCGTCCCTTAAGGAGATAAGAGGGAGGGCTTGTAGAGAAAGGGCCTTCTGGGCTGCTGCCCACAGACTATGGAATGCCCTCCCGACTGAGATTCGTCTGACGCCGACATTGATGACATTTCGGCGCCAGGTCAAAACCTTCCTGTTCCAGAAGGCTTTTAATTGAAATAATATTAGCTGTGGGTCCGATGGCAATTTTTATATATATTTTAATTGCATTTTAATTGCTCTGAATTTTTATTGTATTTTAAATGCTGTATGCCGCACAGAGACCTTTGGGTAGTGTGGGCGGCATATAAATTAAACAAACAAACAAACAAACAAACAAATAACAGATGTTAATAAGCCATGTGTCGCCGAGATCTCTCCAGGAAAGGGTACAGCTAGTGCACTAGTTGTAATTGTGAAAAGGCACTCCTGGCCACTGTTGGACCCTGAGCATCCAGGCTGGGGGACAAATTCAATCCCACCACTAGGCTCAATTATGCTGGATTCTGGTGTCCCGTTCCCCCCCCACCCGGGTCTCAATTGCCAGGTGCCTTGTCAAGCCTTACCAGTGAGGGATTGTAAAGGGCACAAAGGAGCTATACCGGAACACCTCCAGGATAAACGCTTCTGTGTAATGCAACACAGAACGATCGGACAGCTTGGGTTTCCTTTCTCTGCCAAGGACTTGGTCTGCAGGGAGAGAGAAAAAGCAAGGTTTGTGGAATTTCAGCCTTTGAAAGATGGTTTGTTAACTCTTAAAAAAAAAAACAGGGTCTAGATTTACCTATTTCTTGCTGAATCTTCTTCTGGATTTCTGGATAAGTCACCAGATACATGAGGCACCATGACAATGCAGTGGTCACAGTGTCAAACCCTAGAAAAGACAGAGAAGGATGGATGATGAAGGGAAAAACAGATGTTAAGACTATCAGTGATGAGAGCTAAAAGCTCTTACTGTTGGAGATACATGATTTAGTTTCCAAATCCCGTGAGGTGCTAGATTCAGCACTGGTTAGGCCTCACCTTATTGTGTTCAGTTCTGGACAGCACACTTCAAGAAGGATGCGGACAAATTGGAACAAGTTCAGAGGAGGGCGACGAGGATGATTAGGGGGCTGGAAACCAAGCCCTAGGAGGAAAGGCTGAAAGAACTAGGCCTGTTTAGCCTTGAGAAAAGAAGGCTGAGGGGGTGACATGATAGCACTTTTCAAATATTTGAAAGGATGGGCAACATCTGTTCTCAATCATGCCAGAGTGCAGGACACGCAACAATGGGCTCAAGTTAAAGGAAGCCAGATTTTGGTTGAATATCAGGAAAAACATCCAAACTGTTAGAGCAGTATGGCAGTAGAACCTGTTTCCTTGGGATTTGGGGAGTGCTCCAACACTGGAGGCATTAAAAAAAACTTGGATAATCACCTGGCAGATCTGCTTTCATGGTATTCCTGCCTTGAGCAGGGGGTTGGACTTGATGGCCTTGTAGGCCCCTTCCAGCTTCCCTTTTCTATGATTTATGTGATTAAAATAGTCTTTCATGTCTGAGAAATCAGATTTCAAAGAACGCCTGGGCTTATCCTGAAGATGCAAACAGTTATATAACCCCTTCACTTTTCAGTAAAAAGAATTAAGCCAGACTCTGACTATCTTGAATCACCAAGACCTGCAACATTTTGTTGCAACATGTGACATGCTCTTAAGAGTTTTAACTGACCACTATGGTGGTTGTTATATGCCATCAAGTTGCCTCTGACGTATGGCGGCCCTATGAATGAGCAATCTCCAAAAGAACCTATCCTCAACTGCCCCGCTCAGCTCTTGTAAACTCAAGCCTTGCCTTCCTTTAGAAAGTCATTCCATCTAATGTTCAGTCTTTCGCTTTTCCTGCTGCCCTCCGCCTTTCCTACCACTATTGTCTTTTCCAAAGAATCCTGCCCTCTCATGATGGGCCCAAAGTAGGACAGCCTTCGGCTTCAACATTCTTTTTCTCTAGAGATTGATCAAAGATCCACTATCTTTCTGACCATCCAATGTATCTGCCAAGGTCGACATGACTGCTAGTCTTGAAAGGACCACATAGCAGTTTTAATGTTTTGGGTGGGAAAGAAACGGAGAGACCTGAGATTTTAGCCAGACTTACACCTACATAGAGGGATGTGGTGGTGCTGCGGGCTAAACCGCAGAAGCCTGCGCTGCAGGGTCAGAAGACCAGCTGTCCTAAGATCGAATCCACGCGACGGAGTGAGCGCCCGTCTCTTGTCCCAGCTCCCGCCAACCTAATGGTTCGAAATCATGCAAATGCAGGTAGATCAATAGGGACCACCTCAATGGGAAGGAAACAGCGTTCCGTGTCTAAGTCGCACTGGCCATGTGACCACGAAAGATTGTCTTCGGACAAAAACGCTGGCTCTACGGCTTGGAAACGGGGATGAGCACCGCCCCCTAGGGTCAAACACGACTGGACAAAAATTGTCAAGGGGAACCCTTACCTTTTAGATTTACACCTACATAAGGGAAACGGCACAAATTGCAGGGTTACACAGCTGGTGGCATTCCTGGGTGTGTGTCCTTGGACGTCCATGCAGGAATGGGACCTGCATGTCATTAAGAAACAGCAACTTACTGCTATAACATCCATGAATTCCCTTACACGACTGCAAATGGCCAATAGAATTCTGACCTTTGTATTTATATAAACACGGGAGACTCCCTAGAGTTATCCGATACCGTCTTTGCATACAGGATTGCTGCTACTCTGTCAGCCCAAAGCCTAAGGAATAAAAAGAATGAATTATCCTCATGTATTGAGGCATTAAAGCTATGGAAAACTGAACTGTGGCTGCAGAGGACAGCTTTATTTGGGTTGTAAAACCTTTAACAACCCCTTTGAGATTATTGCAAGCAGTGAGTAAAATAGCAAAGGTCACCTGATAGGTAAGCTTCAAAGTGAATTTGGAGTGTCTGGCACGGGTGGGTCAGTGTGTAGGAAGTCAACTGCACCAAGCACTTAAAGAGTAATGGGGTTTTTTAAATGTTATTTATAGCAGATTCTCACCTGCTCCAAAGATGTCATTGACAATATTGACGATCTTGTCATCCTCAAGCTGGACGTTGGCATTCACATCCAGATTTTTAGACTGGCAGTGTTCAATCAGCGAGTCGGTGATGTCTCGGATGTTGTTCTGAAAGACAAAACCCAGAGGATGGCTTTGTCACCTGCTTCCAGACCACGTCAGAGCTCATGTCCTATCTTTATGGTCATTTATTATGTATTGTGAGATGAAATATGGGGCTCTCTTTTCCTACTGTTTTCTCACCACAACCCTGTGAGGTGGGTCAGGTGGAGAGAGAGAGCAGCTAGATGCAGATCACCCAGTGAGGTTCATGGCTGAGCAGGGACTGGATCCAGGATCTTCTATGTTCCAGCCCAGCCAAGCCTTGCAAACACTACATCTACGGGCTCCCACTTGCTACACAAAACAGCTCAGTTGGGGGTCAGAGGCAGGAGGTTTCTCCCAGGTCAGACTCCTTGTCCATCTAACATACTATGGTCTATTGCAGTGGTTCTCCAACTGGGGTCCGCAGATGTTGTTGGACTGTAATTCCCAGAAGCCTTCACCACTTGCTGCGCTGGCCAGGGTTTCTGGGAGTAGCAGTCTAAGAACATCTGGGGACCCATCCGAATTTGAGAGCCACTAGTCTATCGCACTTGAGGCTCTCTAGATATTGGAGGACTGCAACTCCCACCAGCCATCACTTCCCTGTCTGGGATTAATGGGAGTTGGAGTATTAAACCTCTGGAGGACTACCCAGGGAAAAGGTCAATTGATACTCCTGGAAGCTTCTTCGGGCAATTCATCTTTAGTTTGTGAGAACTCTTGCAATGTTTTGATACCAAAAAATAACCCATCTTGCTACCTCCAGGTTCTTCTTTCGTGGTCTAGGGCAGTGGTCCTCAACCTTGGGGCCCCCAGATGTTCTTGGACTTCAACTCCCAGAAATCCTGGCCAGCAGAGGTGTTGGTGAAGACTTCTGGGAGTTGTAGTCCAAGAACATCTGGAGGCCCAAGGTTGAGGACCAGTGGTCTAAGGCAGAATGTTGGCCCTTAAACCTATCAAAATCTCCCATATCCACTTAAATTGGAGATGCTAGCACCTTCTGCATGTCAATTGGAAGGTCAATTGGAATGCTGGACTGCATCCCATCTGGCCCTAGTTGGTAAATCCAGGAAGGAAGAGTGTACAGAGTTATGGCCCCCCGTAACATCTGGAGGACCAAACCTTGCTGACCTCTGAGGTGAAGCCTGTGCTTCATTCATGAATTTGGGAATAAACGGCAAGTGAGAGAGCCTTTCTTTAAGCTTAATTTAAGGGTTAGACTGTATCCTACGTGGAGCTATGAAAGTATAGATCTGGCCAACACCTGGATGGGAGACCGTCAGAGAAAGTTATGCATACAAACTTTTGAGTTCCACACAATAGCAGTTCTCAGCCTCTGGTCTCCAGATGTTTTGTACTACAATTCCCAGAATCTCTGGGATGGGGTTTCTGGGAGATAAATTCCAAAACAATAGGGAATTTAGAGAAAAACCACCATAAGTGAAACATAAACCCAATAAAACTCAATAAAAGGGATAGAATTGCGCACTATAGTAAGCACACAGCATGCATTTTAAGATCCCTCTCTATTTTATGCTCAAGTAAGCAGGCCCCGATTCCCAGTGTGGTGTAGTGGATAGAGTGATGGACTAGGACTTTGGAAAACAGGGTTCAAATCCCCCGCTTAGCCATGAAAACTCACTAGGAGAGTGGAACTGGTAAAACCTATCCTTGAATATCTCACTTACCTTGAAAACCCTTTTAGGGTCTGGTTCTGACTGGACAGCACAGAACAACAACAAGCAAGCACTGCCCTGGCTTGGATCAGGACAGTCATGCACACAAGGAAGTTTAAGTCTCCCTACCACCACCAAGTGACTTTTAAAAGGAATAAAGAGCATTATCTGAGAAAAAGAAAGTCCACCAGTCAACGGATGAGGGAGGGCCTTTTAATTTGGGATTTGGGATGGTGGTGTCGTTATCTGTTTTTAGAGGTTGGAAAGGGTTTGTTTTAATGTGCTAATCTGTTTAACACCATGTTTCCCCGAACACCAGACAGGGTCTTATATTAATTTTTGCTCCAAAAATGCATTAGGGCTTATTTTCAGGGGATGTTTTAATTTTTTCATTTACAACCATCTATGTTTATTCAAATGTAGTCATGTCATCTTCTGGTTGCTGCACAATGGTCAAGGATGGGGTTTCACTTAACTAGAGCTTATTCTTGGGGTAGGGCTTATATTACGAGCATCTTGAAAAATCATACTAGGGCTTATTTTCAGGTTAGGTCTTATTTTCAGGGAAACAAGGTAGTGTTCCACGACTGTAGTTTTATGTGTGTGTGTTTATCCCAATGGGTCTGTTTTAAAAGTTATGCTGGAGGTCACCTTCTGTCTTGCAAGGGAAAATGCAGGATAGCCAACTCATGCATCCATCCATCCCCTCAACTGGCACTGAGGGAGTTTTTTCTTCAATGTTTAGTCCTCATCTATATTGGGTTTGTGTGTGTGATCACTGTAAGCTTAGTAGAAAATAAAATAGCAAATGGTCTTAAATTGCACATTACATATTCATGTAGCCATCTTCAGGCAAGGAAATTTGGATTTCGAAACTTAATGTGTTAATCGTTTTTATACAGAACAACCTGGCTTAAACCGCATCCTTTCTTTGCACATCATTAAGTGTAACCATAAATCTAGCTGCAGTGTAGTGGACCACTAAACACTTCTACTCTGCAGATGCCAAATACTTAATCATCAATATAATACACTTATCTACGAACTATGGGCATATAAGTAATACATTCTTTTCTTGCCAATGCTGGTCTTCTCTGATGATGGACATAGTTTGTTAGTCCAGAGATTGCAAAAGTTACTGCGAGGATTGTAATTCCCAAATTCCTTAATGGGGAGATTCTGGGAGTTGCAGTCAAAATGTAACTTTTCTCATCTGAGTAGTTGGTAGAGAGAGAAAACCCAAGCAGCACATGAAAAAAAAAAGGAAGACTGGAGAGTGCACACTCACTTACCTTGTCAAAATTCGCATAATGTTCCTTAATGATGTTCTGCACAAGAGCATTGAACCGTTGATTGAGATCCTTGAAGGCCTTCATGGTACGGTTGGGAAGGTATTTGAGGATGGGGATGAAGTCAGCTGGGTTCCCAGAAGCAGCCGCCTCTCCAAACTCATTGTTTAGGTTCACCATACTTAACAGCTCTTGGTCTTCATGAGTGTAGCGCTTACCAAAACACATGGCACAGATGACATTGGCCACAGAGATTACCAGGTACCGGTAAGGTTCAAAGCGATTCTTTTCCTTCATCAGCTCTTGGAACTTTGCAATTAAGTAATCTGCTTCTTTTGACACTGAATCCTCCAGTGGACACATAGATGACATAGGGCTAGCGGAAGTTGAGAAGATCTTCAGAGCATTCTGGGCTAGCTTTCTACGGGATCGCCATGCTTCTTTAGAACACCTACCGAAGGCGAAGCTCTGGCCATCTGCAATGAACTGGAAGCTGTAGAGATCAGGGCGTGCCACAAAGTCATCCCCTTGCTTGATCAGGGCTTGCCTGATGGTTTCCAATCCACTCAGCACCAGGACTGGTCTTGTGCCAAGAGTGATAAGCATCACGTCCCCATACTTCTCGCTCATCTGTGCCAAGGTAAGATGGGGGTTCTTCCCCAGGTCTAAGATGTTTCCAATCAATGGGTATCCCCTTGGCCCGGGAAGTCTCTTAAAACCTGGTGGAACCCGGTGCCAGAAAGATTTGACAGCAACCAAAAGGAGGAAAGAGATTGTGAAGACAGCCAGAATTTCAGTGAGTGGTGTGACACCTGGGCTTCCCATCAGTGCAAACATCATTTCCCTTAGATTTTAAAGTATCCTAATGAACAAAGCAGACAAAGAGGGGGAGAAAAGAGACATAGTGTGTTTGGAGCACAATCAGAATTCTGAATAATCTCAGTTTTGCTTTGCATGAGAGATTGGTTTTGGTGTCTATAGCTTGACCTCTTTCACTACAGTTTTTGAAGCCTCCAATGGGCATGGTCTCAAACCATGCCGTTAAGATGAATGACATTTCCAATGTAGTCCCATGCATGTTTACCCCAAAGTATGTCTCATTTAACTCAATAGGGCCTTCTTCCAAGCAAGGGTGGATAATAGCTTTCTCCAACCTCGTGTCTCCCAGATGTTTGCCACTACAACTTTCATCAGCCCTACTCAACTTGCTCGGTGATGGACATCCATTCAACACAACTGGAAGGCATCCACCTAGGATTGTGACTAATGTGTGAAGCTGCTTGCTTATTCCTCCACTCTCTCTCCCCAGTTTTGCAGGAAGTTAAATAACTCTGGCAAAGTCTCTTAAACCACTTTAGCATACATGTGGGAAACTTCTGCCCCTCCAGATGTTTTGTACTTCAATTCCCAGATGGCCTAGGCAGCATGGCCAGTAGTGAAAGATTTTGGGAGTTGTTACAGACAGCATCTAGATGGCCCAAACTTTCCTCTTTCTCCTTTAGCAGAAGACATTTCACTTAGCAGTTGTTCATTTATGGAGCCAGTGTGGCATCATTCCGATAGAACAACAATTAAGAGGGCTTTCCTTTTTCAAGCATCTAGTTGTTAACTCCCAACTAGAGTAAACCCATTGAATATCTGGGACTTATACAAGTGTCCATTTAAGATGTCCTGTCCACGCAACAAGTCTATGCCAGCTGAGACTCAGCTGAATTTAGGCTCAAATCCCTGGTGCATTACAGATTCGGTGACAGGAGACACAGAATTAGCACACGTCTGGCTAATGGGGGCCATGGGCATAACAACTACAAGTGTGTGGAAGGGGTTTTTTTGCATAGTATATCTAGGGCCTTAGCTGAGGTTTGGAGAACAGGAGACACAGAATTAGCGCATGTCTGGCTAATGGGGGCCATGGGCATAATAACTACAAGTGTGTGGAAGGGGTTGTTTTGCATATATCTAGGGCCTTAGCTGAGGTTTGGAGGACCCCAGGAGGTCACCATGAAAAGAGATGTTCTTTGCGTTCTAAGGAGTTCTGGACAATGCACTGTAAGAAGGATGTCAACAAACTGGAGCAAGTTCAGAGAAGAGCAACGAGGATGATCAGGGGGCTGGAAACCAAACTCTGCAAGGAACTGGACATGTTTAGTCTTGAGAAAAGAAGACTAAGGGGACAGATCACAGTACTTTTCAGATACCTGAAAGGTACTCATATAGGGGAAGGGTAGGATCTGTTCTGGAGTGCAGGACAAGTAACAATGGACTCAAGCTACAGGAAACCAGATATAGGCTAATTATCAGGAAAAGCTTCCTAGCTGTTAGAGCAGTATGACAACAGAACCAATTACCTCGGGAGGTGGTGGGTGCTCCAGAGTCATACAAGAGAAAATCGGACATCCCTCTGTCAGATCTAGTTTGGTTTGAATTCCCGCCTTAAGCAGGGGGTTGAATTCGATGGCCTTATAGACCCCTTACAACTCAATTATTCTGTGAACTGATTGCTTTATTAACACCTCAAAGCACATTAAATCCAGAGTGAATTAGCAAAAAGTGAATAGGCAATTATTTTTAAAACTGAAGCAAACTCTTGACATGCTCCCTTTCCATGGTCATGCTCCTGAGAGCTTCTGGGAGTTTTAATCCAAAAAAGGTGACTTTTCCAAACTCTGGCTTGGAGCGGGATGAACCCGCCAGCCCATACCAGGGCTAGCAGCTAAACCCCTGCCCCAGATGGAGCTTTCCAGCGATTTCTCCAAATTGTCTCCTGTGACTGCCCACACCCTTGGCTAGAGATCAGGGCAGCCTAAAGGCTGTGGACGCGTGTGGCCTGCAGGGAACGGATTTGCTGAATGAGCAGCTCTAATGAGCTCCATTCACCTCTCAAATCCCTGGGCGCATGGCATCCATGCACTCAATGCCAGCATCTCGGCTAGTTGCTCAAATAGGGAGGAGTCACTGGTAGCCTTTCCAATTACAGTACATAATTATTACTGTGTGCTGTCAAAGTAATTCTGACTTGTGGTGGCCCTTTCCAGGGTTTTCTAGGTACAGTATACTCAGAAATTGTTCAGAATGGTTCAGAAATGATCCTGAGACTGTGCAGCTTGCCCAAGACCACCCAGGCTGGTTCTTCTGGGAGGCACAGTGAGGAACTGAACTATCAACCTTTGTACTTAACCCATTGAGCTATCCAGCCAGGGACGACCTTTCTAGATCACTCTAAAAAGAGCCACTTGTTCAACACAAGCACAACAAGTCCCCAATCTAGCACTCTGCTTGTCTCCATCTTCCCCACTCCACTCACACCAAAAACTCCTTTATTCCGGATCAGTATACTGTCCCCACAAGCACAGAATCTGTTATACCACTTCCCGGGACCCATCATCCCCAACCATGCAACCAGACTGGAGCAAAATATTGGGAATTTTTCTATACTGAGACCAGACAAAATAAAATATTGATTTAGTCTGTGGAACTCCTTGCCACATGATGTGGTGATGGCATCTGGCCTGGATGCCTTTAAAAGGGGAGGAAAACTCCATCACAGGTCACAAGCCGTGATGGGGCTGCACAGTCTTCAGGCCTAAAATGCAAGATGCAGGGCTGGGGGATCAGGAGACAGGCATCTAGTTGTACTGTGCACTCCCAGAGGCATCTGGTGGGGCCACTGTGAGAGACAGGGAGCTGGACTAGATGGTCCCTTGGCCAGATCCAGCAAGGCTCTTCTTATGTTCTTTCTTATACTGCCTCCAGATTGTTGACTGCAGGACACAATCTTCAGGCCTAAAATGCAAGATGCAGGGCTGGGGGATCAGGAGACAGGCATCTAGTTGTACTGTGCACTCCCAGAGGCATCTGGTGGGGCCACTGTGAGAGACAGGGAGCTGGACTAGATGGTCCCTTGGCCAGATCCAGCAAGGCTCTTCTTATGTTCTTTCTTATACTGCCTCCAGATTGTTGACTGCAGGACCCATCATCCCGAATGGGGTTGAAGAAGAATGCACTGCAATCTCTTAGGCCACTTAGGGGTTTGGGTTAGGCTGAGTTTTCAGTTAGGATTTTTAGGTCAGCCGTCCCTGGAGACGTGGGACCTTCTAAACGAAGAGTGGATGCCCCACCCCTGAGCTGCCCAGAGGACAAAACTTTGCTGGGCGGGACAGATCTCCCCCTCCATCCCTTGACTGGAGGAGGCATGGATTCAGCACAGCATGGGGGAGATGCTCTCAGCCCACCACCCAAATCCAGAAGGAAGACAAGGCAGATTGAGAACTTGACCAACGAATCATTGAGAATTTGAATCCCAAAACAGGAGGCAAGGAAAAGAAAAGCAAACTTCCAGCAAAGTCGCCTTCTAATCGCTGCCTATGACCAGTTACGAATCAATTATTGCTAAGAAAATGCCAATTTCCTAGAATTGGTCTGTTGCACATCTGGATCAGGTGTATCCAGATAATGACGTATGTATCCCATGCTACCAGGTCCCATCTTTTAAGGTCCTCTGGAAGTTTGAGCAGTGGGAGTGCTAGAAAGGGTAGGGATTTCCTCTCTCCTTATAAAAACAAGGTGGGTGGTGGGGTCGCGGAGAGCTGCCGGAAAGTATGGCCTAGACTCCTGACCCTTCACTGCAGGGCATCAAGAGTATGATTGCAGGCAGTGGTGGCCAAAAAGCACTCTGTACATGCCTCGGGGTGTTTCCACACCAGCACCTGTTTAAAATTTCTATGCTATCTCAAAATCCACACACCAATCAGTATGTCCATAAAGAGGCACACAAACCAGCACAGATGCGAACATTGACCAAAAAAAAACCCTCTCAGTGCAGTAAATCGTGGCCAGAAATTCATCCGGCAGCCTGTTAAAAGGTCCTTTTTTAAAGCGATTGGTTTACCCCCCCCGCCGGGGGCGGGAGATTGGCAGAGGAAGCCCTTACCGGCCACGGGCAAAAAGCTGGCTCTCGCACTGGATACAGGCGCGTGAGCGTGCGTACACACGTGTAGATGCGGGCAGGGGTCGGAGAGTTTGCAGAGGGGCACCTAACGAGAGCCTCCTCGCCCGGTGCGCTCTACTCACCCTGGCAGGATGCGGGTGGGGAAGATGCGGACAAGCAGAGCGCTCCCTCCGCCCCGACGTGAAGGGAAAGGAGATGCCGGATGGCTGGCTGGATGGATGGATGGATGCCTTCGGTCCTTCTCGAGGCTGGCAAGTCACTTCGCCGGTCAAGTCCCCTGGAGTGCTACTTTCTGCCAGCTTTATATGCCCCTCCTCGGGTCCTGATTGGCTGAGCCTCTTCGCGTCACGTGTCGGCAATGCAAAAAAAAAAAACAAACAACCCGAAGTTGGGACGAACTTTGGGAACACTTTTGTTTACTTTTTTTTTTTAAGCAGTGCAGACTCATGCGATCTCTTGGGATGCTTGCCTACTCGGGAGTCAGCCCCACTGACTTCTGCGGGTTTCCTCCCAGGTACGTGCGTTTCAGGATCCCAGCCTGCTTCCCCGATGATTTTAAGCGAACATCTTTCGAGGTTCATGTTTGCTGCTTTCCCGTAAGCGACCCGGGTGTTTTTTGTTTGTCTGTATGTTTGTTTTTTTGCAAAGACCTGAGACGACTCCTCAAGCAGCTGTGGATGGAAGGACACTTGCGTATTGGATGACCCGCAACAGCACAGAATTGGGTTCTTTTCTCCCCCTTCCAAAGTTAGGACGGTCCGGAAACGCGTCCTGCCTCCCACAGAAGCCAGACACAAGGTGGTGGGCTGAAATCTTTTTATTTAACCAGCAAAAAGTCAAACATTGGCAGACTTTTGAATCCCGCAGGATTCTTCTTCAGGCGGGGCAAGCCAGCTGCGCGCCTCTGTTTCTCTGCCTCCCAGCTTTGCCCGGCGGTGCCTGCCCTGCGGAAGAGCCCTGCAGGGCTCAAAAGCTCGCTTCTTTTTGATCTATTCGTGATCTAAAGATATTCTCCACACTTAGCGTTTTGGGCTTTGTTCAAGGTGTGCCACCCCCCACCCCATACCACCCCCCTTTCTCCCAGAAGCAGTTCCGATTCCTCCTGGATCGAAGCCTGATCCTCCACAGCAGAAAAGTCCCGGGGGGCAGGGGCAGGCTTCCAGCTGGAAGGGTCGGGGTGACGGCGCTCATTAAGGCAAAAAATGAAAATGAAAAATAAAGAAGACAGAAACGGGGGGGGCACGTTAAAGCCTAACAGCTGTATTTTAAGATGAGCTTTCGTGGACAAGTCCACTTCCTCAGACGTAAAGAGTGGAGAGTGTTCTCATTAAGGATGAGCCTTCCTGCCGATTATTATTTATTACTGTTTTAAAAGAAGACAACAAGTTCTTCTGAAACAGCACGGTGCGTTGGTCTTCCCATTCACAAGCCACAGGGTGAGAGGTAGGCGAGTGTCCCTGACCCTCCCATGGTCACCCGGGGAGGGGGTGTGTGTCTTCTTTGCTCACTGGGGACTAGAAGCTGGCCTTCCCAAGTCTCGGCTCTAACCACTAGACCACATGGCTTTTCCTGACCGCTAGTCCACAGTTCCAGAACTGAGAAAATATTGTGATTTTGGGTTCAGATTATTAAGTATACGTATCTGGGAGAGCTTCTCAAGGAGTTGCTTTTGTGAGTACAGTACTGTAGAATGAAAATCAAGGGCGTTCCCTGTGAGCACTTAAAGCCCCTTATCGTCTCTGTTTTAAAACTCAGGCAGAAGCTGAGCTTACAATGAAAAGGTTGCTAAGTCTATTTAGAAAATATACCCGTCCTAAAACTAAATCTTGCCTCATGGCAGAACACATGGCCCAGGGAAAGGGAGGCAGCCCACCCTCAATAAATAATTTTTTAAAATTTATTAAATGTATGCTTCCCCTTTCCATTCCACTCAAGGCAGTTTAGAAACATTTATGGATATTAAGAAAAATGAGGTGAAGAGACGGGGAAGGGGTAAATCTGTGAGACTTTTTCTACGGCCACAAGACAGGGAGAAATCTCCATCGAAAAGACAAGTGGAGCCTATAATACAGTACTTATATAAGAACATCTAGTGCGGGGAATGGACAGAATGAGGGTCTCGGCAGGACTCGGGGGACCTAGGGAGGAAAAGTGTAAAAGCGGGGGCGCTTCCCAAAGGATGTGTGAGTCTAACTTCAAATTACAAAAAACTGCTGGTGAGGAGCAGAGGGGTTCAGATTTTTTTTTTAAAAAAAGTTCCTAAATACGGAAAAAAAAACCCTGCATGTAGAAATCTAGGAAATCAAGGACACGGCTGAGCTGCCTCTTCCTCTTTTATGCTATCGGGTTTTTTTTTTCTGCGTGCGGGATGGGGGTTATTTTTTAATTTTAATGTGAACGCACAGGTCGGAATAGGCGAAATTGAAGTCTGATGCGTTATAATCCGATTTCACCAGCTCAGTCTTCGGCCTGAGTCATCTGAACGGGTGAATCGAAATACTACAAACGCCATCGCTCGAAAGTTCTCGGAAGCGCCAAAGGGCGCCTGGCGCCGAACCTGAACGCTGCCGTGCGAGGCGTTTGGACTCGCGTGCGAATCCTCCCAGGACTCGCGCGGGTTTGCCTTCCGCGGAAATTGCGCCCTCGCTCGGGGTCGCGTGCGCGCTGTCAGGCTGATCCGGCTCTCTGCGTGCCTAGCCGGTGGATCGCGGTGTCTCTCATCATTAGACTGGCGAATCCCTTTGCAATGAATCTCTCTCGGACCGCGGCCAAAACAAGCAAACGCTTCGGGAGAGCTGTTTTTTCCAGCGTGAGAAAATCGCTGCTCGGGAAAGCGTTTTCCATTCACAAATAACGCACGCCACGCCAAGATCGCCCTAAAACTGACCCCGCTTCTCGGTATTTTGCCATCAATAATAGCTTTCACCCATGGGGATACCCGATTCCAATAAAAACTAGGGCTCTATACTGGTCATTTATGTAACAGATTTATATGACACCTTAGGGGACCCCAAGCAGTTCACAACAAGTAAAAAGGCACAATAATAATTTTAAGATTCTACTATACAAAACTATGGTAAAATAATTAAACCTTAATCGGGATTAAAACTAAGATTAAAATGTTTAAAAAACCTTTTTAATGAGCATTTAAAAATATCTAAATTTCAACAAACAGAGCCTTCCCTAGACATTTATAATTTAAAAACCTGCATGAAAAGGGAGGTCTTCCCTGCCCACAGAAGGACAAGAGGAAGGGGGTCAATCTGGATTCTTAGGGCAGTGCGTTCTGGAGCCTGGGAGCAGCCAGGGAGAAGACCCTCTTGGGGTCGCCATCAAATGAAT